TTCTTTGAAATATGGTGAAAAAAAACTGGACATGCCGAGGTGAGACAATCTTCGAACATTGTTATAAGAATAAGACTTTCTTACATAGATTGATAAAATCTCTGAACCTATGTCTCATCGTACACAACGATACCATAGTTCATGTGAAAATAATTATGGTCTGAGTCTCTGAGATGGGTTCTGGACCTGTGATTTGGCATGGAATAGACGAGAGAATTTACATGAGAGCTGCTAGAGCCACCTAACAAACTCAGGTAAAGACTCATTCACAAATTCTTTCATGAATATTGTGTTTCTCCTGTAAATAAAATAAGTTAATTCTGATAAATTCTTATATGATTCTTATGAAATCCCTTTGTTCTAAATGGATCCTAAATTAGGAAAATTCTCTTCGGCTGAACAAGTCAGGCCATGATACAAACTCTGAACATCACGGAGAGCAGCAGAAACCACTGCGCTTTTTTCCCTCTCGCGAAAACGACAGGCACCGCACTACAAGCACAGGCCGATGTACACTGTCAGTCAGATCAGATCAGGAAACGTATCCACGCGAAGTGCCCGGAGATCGGAGTGGCTTCGGGCCGTCCAATCGCTTGGCGCGGCGAAAAGAACACGGATCGTGCTGCGCCTCAGCTGCTGGTGTCACCGAATTTTGAAGCATTTTCGTGTGGTCGCCTACCTGTGCCTCACACTCACAGTTCTGCCTTGTGACCCTCGCCTGCCGTTTCTTTATGGCTTTTTGCGTTGACTTCGCGGCGGGATGAGTGGCAGTTGCCCGCATCCGCCAACCCAACCTCCAGCGCAGGTCAACTGCTGGGACGCGGGCCCGTGTCTCGAGCTCTGGCTCCTCGCATTGGCGATTTGGCGTGGCGGCAAAGGCAGCGCCGGTTCCCTTTCGGCGAGATGAGCCCGTTTAAAATGGTTTTGACTCTGCGGAGCGCTGGGGCAGCGACCTTGGTGCGTGGGTGCGCACTGCGCAGATTGTGTTGCACTGATTCCGAGGTCGATACGCTCAGCTCTTGCGCGTGATGCTGCGATGCGGCGGACCTGCAGCCTCTTGGGTTGCTGGTTCAGTTTCGTTGCTGGTTCGTAAAATAATATTGTTGACTGATTTGTGTGAGAGAAAAATACTGTTTCGGTTGAAAATTTACGATCGTTTATGACAGGGGCCACATAGCCAAACAAACAAGCTGCTGACCGTGGGATGCAATCCTATGTCACTTTTTTCACATAGGAGTACAAAGAAGTTAAACATACTTAGCTTTAAATATATTTTAAGAGATTACTAATACTTATGATGGGTAATAAGTATTATTAAATTCATTGAGTGTATTTTATAATACTCCCTCCGTTCTAAATTATAAGTCGCTTTGACTTTTTGGTTCATCTATTTTTCTATACATCTAAACATATAATTATATATCTAGATACATAGTAAAATGGATGCACCAAAAAATCAAAGCGACTTATAATTTAGAATGGAGAGAGTACATTTAGTTGGAGATACAAATGTTACTAATATTAGCTATCTCCTCTGAAAGAATCAATTTCTAGAAATCTTACTACGTTGTTCCAAAATACGCATAATAAATGATGTTTAGGCCTTGGAGATGTTTAAACTGTTTCTTATCCTACAAACTTAAAAATCATATCTCATATATGACATATGGACCTCATAGCACTGAAGAGTGAAGAGTGAAGAGTGAAGAGAGAGAGATCCTTGCTAGAGACCTGTGTCTCCATGTCCATGTTCATGGTGTCCTGGTGAGTTGGTGACTGGTGAGAGAGATAGCACTGAAGATAAGCTCCTTACGCCGCAGTATACAGCAGGACGATTTGCCATTATCAAAAGGAAAAAAAACACAGCATTGGCAGCTTCTCTCGCCTTCTCTTCACTCCGGTTTGGACTTTGGATACGGTCAGCCTGTTTGTTTGATTGTTTCAGCCAGAGTTTATCAGCCAGCCAACAGTGTTTTCTTTTCCCAACAAATCAGCATCAACCGAGCTTATCAGCGTAGAAACCAACCAGCGAACAGGCTCGGTATAGAATTAGCATGATGATGGTGTATGCTAGGTCATCAGCTGACTAAACGTAAGTTGCAATTGCAACTAATGTATTACAAGGAAAAGAGAAAAATCTTTTGAGTTGGATTAGTAGTGCGGATTAAATTATTTAAGCATTGACGTAGTCAGTTAGGGATACGTTCAGCTTGTATTAAAGCCGACTAATAAATCAGTTAAAGTTTATGAGAAAAAATACTATAAGCCGACCGATAAGATCAAGCGAAGAGGCCGGAACGGCAAATGATTGAATAGTCGTCAGATCAGTCACTAGCGAGCTCCAGTCGTGTTGTGTACGGAGCAGTACAGTAGTAGAGTCTAGTACAGGCCAATGACTGCCCATGGCTGGTAGGTCCCGGAGCCGGGCCACGTGGGGCCCACTTATCTTCTTCAGCATGAAAGCTACGTCTGGGTCCCAGTCGAGGAACTGTCACGACACCGACAAATAGCCGACCTGTGGGTCCAGACAGCGCCCGCCCTGCGCCTCAGCCGCCCGGACACGTGTGGCGCTCTGGCGAGTGCCATCCAGACCATCTGTGCAAGTGCACGTGGTGGACTGGTGGGAGTGGCAAGGAACGATTGACAGATTGTTCGGTTGGCTGGTTCGTATCGTCGTTGATTCGTAAAAAAATACTGCTGGTTGATTTATATGAGAGAAAAATACTATTCTGGTTGAAAATTTACGATCGTTTACGACAAGCCACAGCCAAACGAATAGGCTGTGGACCGGATCCACCGCGATGTGCACGCTACCACATCTTCATCGTATAGGTTTCCTTATTTTCTTATCCTTTTATATTATTCATATATTCATATATACATATATATTATATATTATTATAAACCACACACCGTTGCCAATAAATTGGCTAAATCACAAGACCCCAGACGTGGAGTTGTGCATCTTGCTATCTCATTTCTAATTTTCAGGTCGTTTTAGTTTTATCAACTAAGAGTATCTCCAAGAGTATCTAATATTTTCTTCCTAAAACTATGAAATTTTACGACTCCTAAAAAAGTATCGGAAGGAATAAAGAAGACCATCTTCGAGAGCTCCTAATAATCCACTCATAAAATGTAGAAGACAGTTTTACATCAGAAATCCTATACTATTTCTAAATTATCTTAACTACTTTTATATATTCTTTCTCTCTTGTACATTTGCATCAGAAACCATTTTCTACTCTTTATTCTTTCCACGCCCTTCCATCTTTAGATTGGCCAACAAACACGCGCAGGAGAGAGAAGATACGCGCGACTCGAAAGCGCGTAACTTTACACGAAACATGGTGACTTTTCCTAAGTTCTAAAATATTAGGAAGATGAATTAGGAGTTGTTGGATTGAGGTTTTTTCTCGTCTTGCTAAAAAACATGGATTATGAAGGAATTTAGTGAACTCTTGGAGATGCTCTAAGGTCCGTATGCTAGAGCCACCCGACTCTGCCTCCTTTGTGCACTTTAGAAGAATTATGTCTTTGCTCCTCTTAAAATGAATTAGAAGTCGGTGAAAACACAATCTTTGGTTGAAAGCCGCGTTCCAGACAAGGTCAGCGCCTTCGCATGGCTTTATTTCAAAGATAGATTGAGCACACACGCCAACCTCTTCGCCGAGCATGTTCTAGGTAATGAAACCTGTCGCCGATGCAACAACGACATAGAAGATCGCAAACATGTCTTCTTTGAGTGTCCCTCCAGTGCTGTGCTCTAGAACCGTCTCGAACTACACCACATTATAAAACTTGGAAATGCAGACATATGGTCTGCGAACATACCCCTACGCCCGAGTGCATGGCTCTTGCCGTTTGTCTTGCTCACCGTTCTCCGAAAAAATTTGCATGCTAGGAACGGAGAAATCTACAGGAGCAAACGTTCGTCTTGTCGTCGTATAGTGACTCGAGTCTGTGATGGTCTTATATTATGGCAAAAACGCTTGAGGTCCGAGAGAGATACCTCGGGACTTAGAAATTGCCGCTTGTTTCTCTTATCCTGTAGCACTACTCGAAACTCTGTGGCTTGACATGGAGTTCTTTTGAAATATAATTCTAGCTAGGGAAACTCTATCCCACTCCTCCATTCATTTCAAAAAAAAAAAATCTTTGGCTGAACCCACTCTGACTCTTAGTGCACTATAGCAAGGAACTATTTTCTCCCCTTTATATTCACTAGGTTACAGCTAGTGCTAGCTCATACCGTTGGAGATGCCCTAAAATAGGTCATAGATGTTTTGCTACATGACTGCATTGCAACATTGATATATGTTGCCTTATCGAAAATTTATCTTAGATCTCCCACATGCGTTTAAGCTGTGTGTACTGTTGTGTTGGTCTTTGTTTGATGGCATATGGATGAACGAGATCAATTGACTAAAATTTGGGAAATCAGACGCGTAATTTGCATTTTGATTTTGTTTGCCCGTAGCAATTCCTAGTATAATTTGAAATTTGAAATATAAAGAGTACGCCGGCCGGAAGTATTGAAAAGAGCCCAAATCCCCGCGCTTGGTCTCGGGCCTCGTCTAATTCCAACTCGGGATCCCTCCCACCCAACCACCCATCAGGCCGGCCCACGGACCGCCGTCTCCTTGTCCACCTATCGGTTACCGATTGTAAACCGGAGCCCGCGGCGTGTCAAAAATCGTCGAGCCCGCCGCTTGGGCCTGGTCCGCAGAATCCACCTCCATCCTCTCCACCGTCGCCTGCGAGACGCTCACCCATCTGCCGTGAGGCCGCGACGCCCCTGCAGCCGCCGGCTCCATCGCGTCGAGGACGCGCCGCGCCGCCAATCACCGCCCCGCTCCCCCCCCACCCCCCTCCACCGCTCACAATCTCCAGAAGGTGGCTGCCGGTCTTCCCCGCGCGCCCTACCCGTCTCCTCGCCTGCTACTACGCCAGGCCGGACTCTTAAACCCTAGCGAGTCTCAGCCAATCCCCGCGCCAGGATGCCGTCAGCGTCGGGTCCGGTGGCCGTGGCGTCGGCTTCGGCGGCGGCGAAGGCCGCGCCATCTGTGGCCGTCGGGATCTCGCCGGACCTGTACCCGACGGAGGACGACCTGCCCTACGAGGAGGAGATCCTGCGGGAGCCCTTCAAGCTCAAGGGGTGGTGGCGCTACCTCGTGGCCCGCGCCGCCGCGCCGTTCGCCAAGCGCGCCGTCATCTACGAGCGCGCCCTCAAGGCGCTCCCGGGGAGCTACAAGCTCTGGCACGCCTACCTCCGCGATCGCCTAGACCACGCGCGCCCGCACCCCATCGACCACCCGGCCTACTCCTCCCTCAACAACACCTTCGAGCGGGCGCTGGCCACCATGCACAAGATGCCGCGCGTCTGGGTCCTCTACCTCACCTCGCTGCTCGACCAGCGCCTGCTCACGCGCGCACGCCGCTCCTTCGACCGCGCCCTGCGGGCGCTCCCCGTCACGCAGCACGACCGCATCTGGCCGCTGTACCTCCGCCTCGCCTCGCTCCCGGCCTGCCCCGTCGAGACGTCGCTCCGAGTCTTCCGCCGATACCTCCAATTCGACCCCTCCCACGCCGAGGACTTCATCAACTTCCTTATATCCGCCAACCACTGGCAGGAGGCCGCCAACCGTCTAGCTTCAGTGCTCAACGACGACGGGTTCCGCTCCGTCAAGGGGAAAACAAGGCACCAGCTCTGGCTCGAGCTCTGCGAGATCCTCACCAAGCATGCTGATGAGGTTGCCGGCCTCAAGGTGGACGCCATCCTGCGTGGTGGGATACGCAAGTTCACCGATGAGGTCGGCAGGCTTTGGACCTCACTGGCTGATTACTATGTCAGGAGAGGCCTTTTCGAAAAAGCTAGGGATATATTTGAGGAGGGCATTTCTTCAGTGGTTACCGTCAAGGAGTTCAGCGTGGTGTTTGAGGCATATACACAGTTTGAGCAGAGTATGCTTGCGGCAAAGCTGGAGGCTGCTGAGGAAGAAGGGGCTGAGGATGAGAACGAGGGAGGTGGCAGGAAGAGTGGGATGGATAAGTTATCAAGGAAATTCCTCGATGAATTCTGGTTGAACGATGAGGATGATACTGATTTGAGGATGGCAAGGTTTGAGCGGCTGTTGGATCGCAGACCAGAGCTTCTTAGCAGTGTGCTGTTGCGACAGAATCCACACAATGTGGAGGAGTGGCACAGGTGAGGTTTGCTATAACACCTGCACTTTATTGATTGTGTTGTCTAGGCAGATTAATTATCACTTGGATGTGCGCAGATTGAGCCACCAAATATGTATCATAGTCACCTGTTAATGTTTCTGAGGGATTATTGATTATTCAGTTTCTGTCACCCTTTGAATGCATGCCTTTTCCCCATTATTTTCATTCAGAGATGTTTGTGAGAACTTTAGACAAGCTAAGATATCAACCTTCTGGATTATTGGTTACTACATCAATTTTGAAAATTCGTGATGAACCAATCAACCCATTCCAGAGTTACTAGCACTGCAAAACTTGCAACATTGTGCTCTCTCTTTTCAAAACAAAGTATGCTGTAAAATCTACTCCCTTAGTTCCCAAATTATAGTTCACTTTAGCTTCGCCGTAAGTCAATTTGGTTTAATTCAATTCTCCATGAAATATGTCTTGATAGTGCATTTATTTGAAATTGTATTTAATATATTTTCTAAGTACTTCGTCAAATTTATAGAATTTCGACTCAAGACAAAGCTAAAGTGAACAATAATTTCGAACAGAGAGTGCATTTGTAAGCGCATTTTCTCTAGCTGGGCAAGTTATTGATTCTTTAGTGATTGGAAGTCTATGCTCAGATCTCCTTTAAATAAGTGATGTCATGAGATGCAAACATGTAGTGTGCTACCAATGCACATTACCATTTCCTTTTGTGTTCTCTGGCTTGATGGAATTGGCTAACAATTCAACAATATGTGCAGGAGGGTGAAACTCTTTGAAAAGGATCCTGCAAGGCAAGTAGCGACATATGTTGAGGCCGTGAAAACTGTAGACCCAATGAAGGCAGTTGGGAAGCCCCATACTCTGTGGGTGGCATTTGCAAAGATGTATGAGAAACACAATCGTCTAGATAGTGCTGAAGATATTTTCAAACGGGCTACTCAAGTGAATTATAAGGCAGTTGACCACTTAGCCAGTATCTGGTGTGAGTGGGCAGAGATGGAGCTGCGCCACAACAATTTTGACAAGGCTATTGAGCTGATGAGGCAAGCAACGGCAGAGCCCTCTGTTGAGGTTAAGAGGCGGGGTATAATTTATTCTGTCAGATCTGTGTCAATTTTAAATTTTCCTGTGTATTTTACAAAATATTCATGCTGACAATATGATTGATGCAGCTGCTGCTGACGGGGACGAGCCTGTCCAAATGAAAGTGCACAAATCTTTGAAAATGTGGAGCTTTTATGTTGATCTGGAGGAGAGCCTTGGAACCTTAGACTCTACCGGTGCAGTTTATGAGAGAATATTGGATTTACGAATTGCCACTCCACAGATAATTCTCAATTATGCATATCTTCTTGAGGTAAGATCTTTCTCCAAAGTCAGCATGTTTTACGTTTCAAATAGGATCTTTTAATGCATCTTTTAATATTCTGTTTGTTACTGTTTCTCTCACAACAGGAGCACAAGTATTTCGAAGATGCATTTAAAGTGTATGAAAGGGGCGTGAAAATATTCAAGTATCCCCACGTTAAGGCCATTTGGGTGACCTACCTTACAAAGTTTGTACAGAGATACAAGAGAAGCAAGTTAGAACGAGCAAGAGAGCTTTTCCATGAAGCTGTCCAACAGGTATGTAAAATTTCACCCATGCTTTGTTTTATGCGCAATATGCTACTCATAATCATATTCACCACTTTTTAGCATCATCATAAGAGCATGCCATGAAAAATACTTGATCGATAATACAATTTAAGCACCATGGCAAGTTTTTCAATTCAAAACTACACTTGATTTTGTGCTTCTTTTGGAACCATGTGCCCCTCTGTTCCTGTTGTAGTATGTCATATTATTCTTTGCGCCTCATTTACTTGTTTGAGACACTGGCACCTGTTTCTTTCCTGCATGCAACTTTGATTTCTTGAGAAAGTTACTTTCAACATCTTTCTTCTGTACTTACACTGTACTTCTTTTGATCAGGCTCCTCCAGAGGAAAAGAAGCCCCTATATTTACAATGGGCAAAACTGGAGGAAGACTATGGTCTTGCCAAACGTGCTATGAATGTATATGATGAAGCTGTAAGAGCTGTTCCTAACAGTGAAAAAATGGCTATGTATGAAATCTATATAGCACGTGCTGCCGAACTCTTCGGTGTTCCAAGGACAAGACAAATATATGAGGTAAGCGTATTATCCTTTCCCTTGAGCTTGTGATTGTTGCCTTATGGTTTTTGGCTGATCATTTGTTTTGAGATTCAGTTTTTTTCTATGCAGCACGGATACGGATACGCGTATCGGTATCGGGAGGATACGGATACGCGGATACGGCAATTTTCTAAAAAATCCGATACGCGGATACGTTTTACTATTTTAAAATTAAAAAGATAATAATGCATATTAAAACTAATAACAATAAAACATTGCAGTCTACTTAACTACTTAAGTTCTATTATTCGTTTTACTATTAATAAATGTCATTCAGGCTCGCATCAACTCCCTGTTTCCTCATTTGTTTCACTCTCATCCACATTCCACAACATCAAGCTGCAGAGTAGATCGAGTAGATCGAGAACGGAAAAAGGAGACGCCATCTACTCATATTTGGAGACGCCAGACGCCATCCACTGCATACAAAGAAAATCAAGAAGAAATTAAGAAATGCAAAAATAGAGTAGATCGAGAATGGACAGAGGAAGAGGAAGTGCGGACCAAAGAAATCAAGCAACAATAAGTCATGAACTGCAGAAATATAGTAGATCGAGAACGGGGAAGGGGATGAACTCACGGGAGGTCGCTGGACGCCTGGATCCATGTCGCGGGGACAGAGACGTTGCCGGCGGCCAGTGAGCAGGGGCGGAGGCTCGTCGCCGGCAGCCGCTAGCCGCTGGGGATCCGGATCCGCCGTCCGGGCAGCCCAGGCCGGCGCCATGGCCGCCGTCGAGGAAGGAAAGGGGCCGCCGCCGCCGCCGGGCACCCTCACGGCCGGACGGGATGCCCCAGGCGCGGGGGCGGCAGATCCAGCCGAGAGGACGCCGAATCCGCGCACCCCCGGGCCGAGAACCCGCCGGCAGCCGCCGCCCCATGCACACCGAGCTCAGGAGCACCTCCGGCCTCCAGGAGAGAGAGAGAGGGGTGGGGAAGAAGAGGAACGAGCAGAACGAGGCATCACCGCGCGTGTTCGCTGGAGGCGGCGTGAAGTGCGGGAGTGCAGGCGTCGGGGGCTCCGGGGCTGGCTTTGGGGACAGAGGAAGGGAGTGCGCGAGTGTTTGTTGGGCTGGGCCGTATCGAACAGGCAGATACATATCGGCCGACGTACTCAATATTCACGAAATTAATAAAAAATCGGATACTCTTTGGATACGTATCCATCACGTATCGGACGCGTATCCGATACGGGATACGGCACCTCCCTGGCATATCCGTGTTACATAGGGTTTTTTTTTCGCATCATTGTTGTGGATGAAAGAAATTGATATGGATCTGACATCTGAGCTCTTTAACGCCGCTTTTTAACTATTTGGTAACTGGATGAATTAATTAATATAGATGTTTCTTCTATACTCTCTAGTAGGCTCGCCCTCTGCTTTCGATTGTTGTCTTGTATCTGTTTTAATTGATAGACTGGCTGTGTTATACTCTTATCTAGGATCTAGTTGTGCTACAATATTTTAGCACATAAGTGTGAGCTGGCTAAGCTTGTTTTTACAATTTTACTACTCCATCTGTTTCAAATTATAAGTCGCTTTGACTTTTTTAGTACATCCATTTTGCTATGTACCTAGACATATGTTATAAGTATTAGATACATAACAAAATGGATGTACCAAAAAAGTCAAAGCGACTTATAATTTGGAATGGAGGAAGTAATTAGTAATGTTGTGAATTAATACGTGTTTTATGCTCCCATCGGCCATCTAGAATTCCATATGTTTGATTTTATTGAGCACTCCACACTCCAGATTTAGCCTGGTTGTGTCTTCAATATTTGCAGATGTTTTGCTGGTTACTGATAGTTTGATACTAACTTTCCCTGCTATCCTTGTCACAATTGCAGCAAGCAATTGAATCTGGCCTCCCAGACAGAGATGTTCTGACAATGTGCATGAAATTCGCTGAGTTAGAGAGAAGCCTTGGGGAAATTGATCGTTCGCGTGCCATCTATGTGCATGCATCCAACTATTCTGATCCAAACAATCCTGACTTTTGGAAGAAGTGGAATGATTTTGAGATTCAGCACGGTAACGAAGACACATTCAGGGAGATGCTTCGTATCAAACGTACAGTGGCTGCTAGCCGCAGTCAGGTATGCCACACTTATCAACTTAATTTGCAGTTTGACATGAACATTAATTCTTGTATCACAAATTAACACTGACTTATAATGTTGTGCAGACACATTTCATACTACCGGAGTACTTGATGCAGAGGGATCAGAGGTTAAACCTGGACGAAGCAGTTGACACTCTGAAGCGTGCTGGCGTCCCTGAAGATGAGATGGCAGCCTTGGAAAGGCAACTGGCTCCCGGACCATCCACTGCACCACCAGCAGCACCAAGCACTGCCCCAGCCTCTGCTAACAGGATGATGAACTTTGTCAGTGCTGGAGTAGAGGCGCAGGCCGAGAGCAGCAGGCAACAGGCTGGTAACAATGAGGACATTGAGCTGCCCGACGAGAGTGACGACGAGGAACCCGATGTCCAAATTGCAGAGAAGAGTGTTCCTGCTGCGGTATTTGGTGAGCTTGGCAAGAGAGCTGCCGAGAACAATGAGGAAAGCTCAGGTGCCCAAGGGAATGAGCAGCTGGGCGCCCTCGAAAGGATAAAGAGACGGCGCCAATAGTGTGCCGCTGCTAAGCTGAGACCCCATGTGTGCACCGTGGTATCAGCACAAGCTTTAGCGATGTTGTACTTGTTACATGTAAACATTTTTTGAGTGGAATTTTGTTCTTGTACAAGCATTTACGGAAGTTGATCGGGGTATATCCTTTGGCCATTTTTGTCAAGTCTTGGGATTTCTTCTTCTTCCTTGAAATAACATGATGCCGAAACATTATTATCATTGGGCCAGAATTTCGTCTGAGTTGAATTCGAACAAGTGAACAACCATAGTCAGATGCCAGCTATCCTTGGCCGCATTCTGAAAATCTTATTGGCTGTCGTAAACTCGTATAATATATAACAATACAAAAAGGAGAAAACTTGGAAAATTTTCTATGATTCCATCAGCACGTGTGTCATCTGTTGTATGCCTAACAAACTCATCTGTACAAAAAAGAATTCTAAAGCATTTTTGCGACTACAACTCCAAATGCCAATAACCCGCCCTCCATCACTTGACATAATCTGAACCATCAAGGAAGTGAGCAAACTCTGTCCCGTTCAGTTTGCTGCTAACTTCCTCCCAGTTCTTGACAAGGTCCGGAAGAGGCCTCGTGTGAATTTTCACCTGCCTGCTCATCAGCCTCCTCACCGGGACTCTGAGGAACTCTTGCACCTGGGATAATGCCTGCGCACCCAAGAGATGGCATTAATATTAGTTAACCCAAGAACGTAACAATGGATCTTTCAGTGGGACATCTAACTGTGCTCAGTACATTGCTGTTGCTGATTATATCCTCATAATAGAGGATCATGTGCCGCGTACTCTTGAAGTGGTCCAAGCAATCTCTGATGGCCTTCTCAATGTTTCTGATGTTTGTAATCAGAGTTGACAGATCCAGATGTGGTTTGAATTTTGCTAATATCTCAGCCTGCCCAAAATGAGCTGTACTAATCAGATAAGATGTTGCAGTGTAATATCAGCTTAGATGCAGTTTATCTTTTACCCACCAGTGTAATCAAAATCACAAAGCTGCCATAAAATAAGTGATATATGTACTAAGCCACAACTCATGTAAAATGAGCTGTTTGAAACTGTTTGCGCATCGAAATTACCTCTTCTATTGAGTGAACATGAGACTTGTGAGTTCCATTCAACTGCTTTGCATCTTTGTCATAGTCGTTGGCCAACACAGATATAAGCCTGCGTAACGTGTTTCTCCTGAACAGAAATATCACAGAGACACCCTTCTTGTTCAAATAACCAACTATATCTTCAGGTTTTTCCAAAATTCCCTGGGAAAACACAATGTTGGAAGTTATGAGCCAGGCATATATTTAACATCTGGTAGGCATAAGCATAACTCCAATTGTTCTGAAAAAAGGAGCAGAACAAGTTTCAACATGGATCATCATTGTTAAGTGTTAACGAGCTTGGATGGTGAATTTTGCTTAGTACACAGTTTTAAGAACTGCAACCTGTAGGCATGTTAGTAGTTGGCAGTTGGCACATAGGCCATAGCTTTGAGAAAAACATCCATATATGCAGTATAATAGAGTTGAATTCTAGCTATAATTCTTACAGAATCCAAACTTTGGCAAGGAAAATAGATCATATAAAAAGGTTTGCCCATGTTCCACCGGATAGAACTGTAGTTTATAACACAGTGCTAGTCACTGCTGGCAAGGACTCCTCATGTTATGCTGTATTTTTCCATTTAGAAAGCCATAGTTAAAGTACCTGATTAAGCATCCACTTCAGTCCAAATGCAGCTGTGCACTCATTCTTCGCTGCGCTGGTGAGCCAGTCCAAATTATACAGTGTGTCAAGTGTTTGTAAGATAGACGAGATATTCTTTCTTCTATCCACTCTGTTAAAGATTTCGCCATTGGAACTAATGTTAGGGTGACTATTCAGCAAGGTCTCAAACCATCCACTTCCGGATCTTTGCATAGACACAATTACAAAGAATCGAACAGGAGTACATGAGCACTCCCCCCTGCAGCAGAAGGCACAAATATCAACATCAGCCATAAAATATACTGTACTACATAATTGAGGACTACAAAGATTTTATCTATCCTCACAGTCAGGTGGTGGATGTTACCTGCTATAACTCGTAGGTTTTGGAAAGTGCACATAACTGAGCTCCTCACGTGGCACATAAGGCTTTCTGCAAATATTGTCCCTTTGTTCTTCTCGACTATTCCCCTCTTTTTTGTTCTCTAGCGTTATCTGATTAAAGGAGAGGTAGCATACATAGAAACCAAATGACGCAATGAAGAAAACAAACACTGGCCGTGGCAGAATTGGTGCTCCCTTGGAACTCTTAAGTGAATAAGAGTGCTGCAAGCACAAACACGATTTTAATGATCAGCCATTGCTGCTACTAGCAAGCATTGGGGACAAATAACTGTAGTCCAGGAGCACTGTGCTATACCATTTTCAGCTTGCAACAGATAACTACTGTCTAGGCTGATTTCTTGTTCTCCCACACGAGCTCAGAGAGGAAGCATGTTTAATCCTAATTGACATCAGAAGCTCACCATGTGCCAGCGCGTCACAGTGCATCCTGGTAAATCAAATACAGATTTTACAGTCAGACAGCTGCTCATAAAAGAAGTAACACACTCGACAATGTAGCTGCCAATGCAGCGCTAATTGCAAATCTGCTTCAAGCAGTGCTCAACAAAGTTTACCAGGAACAAATAGGCCCAAAAAGTTTGAGAAAACGAACGAAATCAAACGAAACCCTGAAATAGGATTCGGTACAAACAATAATGGAGGAGGAGAGGAGCAGATGAGAGCCAGATCCACTAAATGCGTGAATAACCTCTCACCAAAACTCGCGCGACACGGAGCAAACCCAAGCAGCCGACGAAATCCCAGGTGGGATTTGAACTCCGAAATGGCGAAGAACCCCCGCGAGATGAAGAGAGGGAAGATCCGAAGACGGCTGGTTTTACTCGAGGTGAGCAAGATTCAGCTCTGACAAGCCTCCAACTCCAAGAAGCAAGACGCTCCCCAAAACCCTCGGCAGCCAGCGAGGAGCAAGAGCAGAACCAAGATTCGGGTGCGAAGAATCACGCACGGGCCAAGGAAGGCTCCGAACTCCCCGCAGATGAGAGATGCCTCAAGCAGCGGCAGCAAGAAGAGGCAACTCTAAAACTCTAACAGCAAGATCACGTGAGCAACCTAACACGCGTCGCGGCGGAGGCGGGGAAGAATGGTCGTCACCTGCTTCGTCAGCCGGAGGCCGGAGCGCGGACTTCGACTTCCCCGACCTCGCGCTCTCTCTTTCGCACGGCTCCGACCTTTCCTCGGGTCCCTCTCGTGATCTCGTCCCGCGCTCACAATCAAGAACAGGAGGAACGGAAAAACGGTGCCGTAGGAATGCCTCTTGAATTCCTTTTGAAGATGGTTTGAAACGTGGGCAAGGCCGCATTTTCTTTCCTTTTTCTTTTGAACTCAAAAAGGGCAAACCAAGCAAAAGCAAACAAAAGCGAAGAGGGGCCATGGCATGAAATGTGAACGAGCAGGAGCGTGTGGTGCACCTAGTCTTCGTGTACCATTTGCAAAATATATAAAAGACTAGAAGAGGCTGGTAATTTCCTCCGGTTGATGTCAGTCAAACGCGTACTTAAATCAAATTCAGATTTTGCAATGGTTGTTCTTTTTCTTCTTGTCTGGAGTCTGTAGTTACTCCGTAACTCCGTTGGTTACTTAATTAATTAATTTGTCTTCTGTTTTGGTTGTGAGGTGAAAGATGCCTTAACTAATACTGGTTCGGCCGTTTTGTTTCTTTAGATTAGATAGAACCATTTAGGGATCCTTAGAACGTAGAGATTTTGCAGGAATTATATAAAAAATATCTACATTTTATAAAAAATAATTCATTCTTATAAGAACGCCAGCGTAAAATATCTAGCATTCCAAATATGGCCTTTGACAATTTTCGTCCTCTTGAATGGTGAATTGGTGATAATATATTTTTGGAGGTTTGGTAATTGGCGATTGCAGTTGATTTAGGGTCTGTTTGGATTGCCGAAAAAAATTCATGTTCCTACGTTTTTTCTATAAAATTGAATTGATTTCTGTGAAATTTCTACGAGATTCTGTGAAATTCCTGCGTTCCAAACATGCTAGAGTGATAATAAATCATGGAGATCAAATTGTTTATTTGACTCTTCAAGGGGAAAACACAAGGACAACGTCACAAACGGTGACTTTAGTTTGAGTAGGACGTTTCGTATGCATTGTCTGCATCGCGCGCCGTTCAAAACTCCGTCCGCGTTGAGTTGTTCAAAAAGCTGTTGCTCCTGAAAAGCTGCCTCTGCTGCCTTTTCTAAGGAAAAAGCAAGCTTGGAGATTTTTTACTGCTGCATTTCAACTGTTTAATACTCAATCCATCCTAAATTGTAAGACGTTTGATTTTTTTGACATCAAATTTGACCACTCGTCTTATTCAAAAATTTGTGTAAAATATCACTTCTTTCGTCGTGGTTTGATTTATTAATAAAAATTCTTCAAGAATGACTTAAATTTGACTATATTTGCATAAATTTTTTGAATAAGACGAGTGGTCAAACTTGGGGCCAAAAAAGTCAAACGTCTTATAATTTGAGATGGAGAGAGTAATAACATAATATAACCCCATTGGTTGGAGCACTTTCGCAGATTTTCGCAATCAAATGGCAAGTTCAAAAACTGGTAGAACGGAAACGGTAGACCAAAGTAGGCTATGAAATTACAATTCTGCCGAATTATGAATTTGAATGAATTACAAATGCAGATATTTTTCCCATGAATGTTAGAGCAGACGAAATCCGTCCGAACATAGTAAATTTTTGTCCTGAGAAAGAGAGACCACAAGCCCACAACTACTATTGTAATCCAGTGATGCCAGCCTAATGCGTTGCCCATTATGTCACCGACAGCGTAGTTGAATCGAGCAACAGCCAAGCAGCAATAGCAGCAGCAACAGTGAGTGTATTAGGTGACGGAGGCACAGATGGATTCACATGCTAGAGCTGGTACAAAAGGACAATTAGGTGCGCTTGATCCCAACATCAAGGCAGACACCAGTAGGTACAAGAGCACGGCATCAGTTGGAGCGTCAAATCAAAGCTTAATATCATCCGCAATGGTTTGGGATCTTCATAACAATTTTTTTTCCTCCCAAAGGGACAACCGAGCTACATCCCAGATCCTAGAGGGACCAATGTAGAGCAACGGGTCCACTCCGAGAACACACAGCCCCTTGTTGAGATGACGGACTAATCTTTATCATGATGATGACATGAAATCCTCTGGCCTGGCAATGAAAACTTCCTCAAACTCATCGTCATCTGGTGAAGAACAGAAATTGCAATCAGCAATTGTCAGACTGAAAATGCAATATTAGCTACAGAAATTACAGTCTGGAAGCTGCACTGAGTAGGTTGAGATTTTAGAAAAGGACTAGCATCATGCATTCACTTTATTTAGAATAGGGGCAACCTGCTATTCTGCTATAATAAACCACGTTGCAATTATAGGTTCTTCTTGATTTATTAATTAACATAGAACTAAGGGAAAAAGTGTAAATTTCTTGCTAGAGAAAGCATAGCCTCAACAATAATATGACTTGGTATGTCCAACCCACAGTCCAGAAAACAGATCAAGCCGATGATTAGTGAATGATGACCCAAGACATAACAAAGGTATTTTCTACAAAGTTAAACAGTTGCTGGGCAATAATCATAACCATTGAATGGTATACTAAGAGTAAGGAAAAAAATGGAAACAATAATAATGCAAAAAGCACTACCTGAAAGATACTAAGGAAAATAAAAAGTAGACAAAACCCACGATACCTTTTCTTAGTGCCAATGCAACAATGGAATCGTTTTCCACCTGAACAAGTATAAAAAAGAAAATATCACACAACCGACAGATGAATTAGACAAGCTGTGGGTTTAATCTTCAAAGAGAACTGATATGCTAAGGCTACACAAACTAAACTGTACCGTGACTAAACAAACTAAATATCTGCATTAACAAGATGCCTTAACTTATGTTTCTATGAGAATAATGAGATTGTGCATTAGGCAAAACAAAATCATTTTAGGAAAATATGTACAGAAACAGCTAGATATATGGTACCTTCTGATCTGCCAGCGTCTTTGAGTCTTCAAGCACATCACTGCTGGGCCACAAGAACAACTGCTGATTAATAGGAGGTTGATCTATCAGCGAATGCAACTTCTGTTTGATGCTCAAAGCTGTTTCTGTTGGTTCACATTGAATGAAGTAGGTAGTCTTGTTGCGCTTCACGCGGATATACATGTTTGCAAGCCTGCATCGGCAGAATGCCTAAAAATTATCAGTACACAGATGGAATGGAACCAGCAACAGAGGGAAATATCTCTGCTTCCCAGAAACCATATTCACTACTCCAGGGGTTGGTGGAATGTAGTAGCACTATAGTGATAAGCGTACTGCTTATCTTAGTAATAATACCCTAAAAACTGCTGAGGGCAATGAAATCCTATGGTTGCATTGGACATGGATTACGTAAAGGGTCTCGATAAGTGTCTAATTGAGCAAATCGATCATGTATACAAACACGCAGTCAGCTGTAAAAGGTACAAATAAATTCCCATAGTGAAAACACAATAGAACAAGCATGCCAGAACAAATGCGTTCTGGTAACAGGCAACGCGAAGTATTACCCTAAAATCATGAAATTATACTCGATCCCAATGGTTCTTGAAGCAAAGTGACTACACAATACCCCGCAACGAACAAAACCTACGCGTAAAAGCCGCCTGCGGAGCCCCCAGCTACTCTCGCACGCCAATGAATTGAACACACAAGTACACAAGAGTTGGTCAGATTCGCGAGCCGGGAAACGAGACGCACCCTGGGGATCGCCGATCTGTCTTCCCCTGGGGTGGCACGCGGGCCGACGGGGCCGACGGCGGACGCGCGCGGCACGGCGGCGCTGGCGTTGACGAGCGAGATGCCGAGGAGCCGGGAGACAGAGACGGAGACGACCCGCGGCGGATAGGTGGAAGCGAGGCGAGGGTAGGGGAGACTGGAAAGGATCTGTGCTACTCAGCGCATTGGGCTATTGGGCCTGCCATTGTGCTTGCTTATCCCGCCACACATTATCAAAGTGGGCTGGCCCAGTACTCGGTCTCGGCTCCTTCGTTTTCCTTCGCCCGACGCGGCGGCCGCCGCTCCCGCTCGGTTTGCCGGGGTTCCCGTAGGGGCAGGCGTCCTACCTTGCCCTACTGGTGACCTTCCAGGGGCACCGCGTGCTGGCGGAGGTCTCCAGCGGTGGCCCATAACTGCTATAGATCACTAACGGTGGTGTCGGCGGCAAGCGTCAACTACTCGGCGGCGGTGATGGCGGCGGCCGGTGGCGGAGGAGGAGGCGGAGGGCGAGCCACCACATCCGGCTGCGGTCTCAAGCGCCGCTACGCACCACACGACCAGGAGGTCTGCATTCTTCTTATTCTTCTTCTAGTGTTTTCTCGCCTGCCATCATCGCATAAATGTTTGCTGTACTAGAAATGTTAGTCTGACTGATACTACACATGACGTTGCACGTTCGGCTTGCTAGTGGGGTATTTTGCACGTTGAAACCATTTCGCAGACGACTGAGTCGGCCAATTCGTCTTCCTTTAGGGGTTGATGACTGACCTTAAACATTTGGGGAGAAGAGTCCATGTCCATCATTACATTTAGAAGTAAAAATGACCTCCGGAATATCAAGAACCCAAAATTAACTGCTCCACTAACTGAAAATTCGTCGCAAATTGAATTTAGGGGTTGTAAGTAACATCGTAATGCGGCAATTGCCAACTAACAGAGCTGATGGCACATTTGGTAGCGAAGAACTTTTGTACTACTGAATCACCGAGTGTTTTCCATTCATGACATATGAGATGATATGATACACACAGGAGGAGACGATGAATCAAGATCAGTCTTCTAAGGAAGATTGGTGTGGGCGATTGTGGAATGGGATGGACTTGCTCAAGGACGTCACTGAAAACAAGCATGTCCTCCCTACTGGACTTGAAGGGTATAGTCATGCCCTCTCTTATTCAGTCTTCGTCTCTTATTGGCTACGTTAACATCCTTGTCTATATTACCTATTATGATCAATATGATCCTAGTATCATTTATTTAATCTTTCAATTGCCAGCATTGACACACTTCTTGGAGGCGGCCTGTGCCAAGGTCAGCTGACAGAGGTTACTGGACCATCATCTTCTGGTAAAACACAGGTGAGAAGATGAGTTATCTTTTATATACACTTAAAATGCTTATGGTTACTGCTTAGGATGATTGTATTGGAACTAGTATGGGCTAAATCATAATCATGCTCTTGTCTATTGCATATATACCATTTCAGGTCTGTCTACATTCTGCTTCACATGCTGCAGTGAAGCATATGGGTGTGGTTATGTACTTGGATACTAGTAATTCCTTCTCTCCTAGTCGCATTGCCACCATAATTGATGGAACTAACGACCTATCTGATCAAAGAGGTAGACAGTCACCCATATGTCTAGCCTGCTCATACCTTTTGTCATTCTTTGAGTTCTCATAATTTATTTCAATTCTTATGGTGTAAATAGAAATTTGTTCCAGCAGTTTGCCAGCAAAAGCTTTACCATATGTTGTATATATAGCTTAAGATCTACAGCAACCAGGTTTTGACTTGCCACATAAGGAGAGGCTCAAGACCATGATGAGAAGCATCGTCTGCAAGTCTGTGTTTGATATATTTGGTATGTTTGAAGTATTACATCAACTTGAAGTCTCTCTACTGAATGACAAGGTATGAATGGAGCCTTCCTTATTGTTTCAGATTTCTTGTCAAATACTTCTCTGACATGGCACATGTACAGGTAAAAAGTGGTGGTAGGAAAATTTGCTTACTTATCATTGACTCGATATCATCCTTGCTTGCTCCCATCATTGGTGGCAAGTATCCACAAGGTACCACCTTCAAGCCTTCTCTACAATCCCCACCACCACCACCACCACACACACACACACACACACAGACTTTATGCAGGAATATCAAGAGGTTGAGATAAATTAGATTTGAATATGATTCTGTGAGTTAGGAACTGAATTGAATTGGTGCTTATGCAAGATAGCTTATGAATTTAGTATAAACTTAATAACAATGTCTATGATACAACTGCTAATTTATAATCTCAGCTGGTCATAAATTGGATTTCCCTAAGTTAAGTTCCTAAACAATAGTCTCTGGGATATTGCTTCCTAAGAGGAAGGCGTCCTTAATTCACAGCTTTTGTTTCTTTTCTCTGAACCTGTATTAATAAACTGACAGGGCGGTCGATGATGATATCAGTGGCGATGATTCTAAAGAAGTTAGCCTATAAGCATAATCTATCTGTTCTGGTAATTTCTTTGAACCCCAGTTTTTGGTAAGCATTCATGGAATGCTAATTGCATGCTCTGGGATGAGCATATTTGGAGCAATTGAGACTTGTTAACTTGGTGTAAACCTAGATTCAACTCTTTGGCTTGAATTTGATTGTTTTTCTTATTAACGGGAAGATACTTTTTTTTAAAAAAAATTAAGATGCTTTTTTTTAAAAAAAAAACTATCTAACGTTTTGATTTTGGTCATGGGGATAATATATGTATTCAATTTCTTTGTCAAATTCGTTGTGCAACTATGCAATGTTCACTCAGCAGTATTGTTTACATGCATTGAGAGAATAAGAACTGTAATATCGTGGTGATTATCTTGATGATGCATAGCACCTGAATTTTCATGCTGAAGATTGTTTGATCTTATTCGACAGGCTGAATCTGTATGGTGTTTGGTCTTGAATTTGCATACTACCTTCCATGCATTAAACACACTAAAAAAGAGATTACATATGGGCTGTTGAAACATAAAAGAGATGACCACAAAACAACTACTACGGACTAGACCATAGTTAGTTTCTGTAATTTGCACCTGCATAACACAACAAGGCTCCTTTATCTAAAATGGTCCTAGTTACCAGCCACACATTCGTTCCGTTAAAAACACAGTCACTATGATGTTTCCAAATTTGTGAAACAACTACAATAATCAAATAATTGAGCCCATTCCTCATTTGCTTGTCAATTTGTTTAAGATCTTGGCACCACCATGAGGAGAAAGCTGTAGAGTTCAGCTCCTGTTGCAGACCCAGTCACCCAGACACTGGAGAATGATAAACCACGCTTGCCTAGAGAAGACCCATGAAATTAGCAAGTGCTGCATAGTCTTCATCCCTTTGATTGCTCAATGCCTGGCAGTCGGGGTGTGGTAGTCCACATTTGGCAAGCCTATCTGCTGTCCAACTGTGACTGCGAATGGCCAAGAATTTGCAGCGCAAAGGAGCCCAAGATTTCTAAATATGCTTCCATGGAATACACCTAATTGTGCCCGCAAAGAAAGCGTTATAGGTTACTTTGGAGGAGCAGCAACCAGATTTTGCCAATTTCCATATATGCTGGTCTTGTCATGCATGTCCTTTGCTAATGTACTTTATTGGTATTCAAGCCACAAAAAATTATGTAGCAGGCTCTTTTTTCTCTACTCCATTTTCTCTGGTCTGAAGTCTGAACTAGCTACCAGTTAGCTCCAAGTATTTGAGTGAGGAAGGTTCCAAGGATGGACCAGTATATTTTTTTCTTCAGTCTTCAATATTTTCTTGTAATAAGGTACCAATGACCTAAAAATGGTTAACATCATGTACCGAGAACGTTTATTCTTCCATATAATCAGCTGTTTAGGATGTACCATCACTGCATGGTTGGTGACTCAACAAATACCACATACCACCTTTGTTTTAGCATTTGAAATGGAAGTTTATGTTACTGCTTGGCTTCCTATAGGCATTCATAAACTATTTGCCTTAAACAATTGATTTTACAAATTGCTATGAATCAGACAGCAAAATTTTTTTGTGAATGCTGGCAAGTCTGAAACAAAAAGTTTTTTTCTTAAGTTCATTCATTGAGTTACTCTCTTGCATCAAAACCAGGTAACCAACCATATGGTTTCAGCTGGCAATGGAGCTGTCAAGCCTGCTCTTGGTGAGAGCTGGAAAGCTGTTCCACATGTCCGCCTGGTGATATCACGTGAACATGGTAGTAATATCTGCACAGCAACTGTGCTGAAGCACACACTACTGGTATTTCCTTTGGCAATTTGATTATACTTCTAGCTTTCATTGCAACAGCAGTAATGCTTGTTGTCGAAGTAGAACTTGCATGGGTAATAACTAATAAAACAGCAGTACCATTTTTTTAATAAACAGATAGATTGTCAGGGTGCTGAAACACACTGGGTATTTTCTTGGTTATTTGGTTATAATTTTTTTTAGCTTTCATTGCCACAGCAGCGATGGTTGTCCCTGCAGAACTCCCGTGGAAAAACCAGCAGTACCATTTTGTTAATAAGCAGATAAATTGTCCTTATGAGATTTTTAGAAGCATCATTTTCTATACCTGTATACCATAGCATTGCATTTGATTACCCTATGCAAGTGTATTATGTGTGTACGCTATATGGTTTGTCCATGCCTTCTAGAGAATTTTATTTTATTTTTCCCAAGCTTCTGATTTATGCTGGACAGCAACAACAGCAGACATATGTTTTATGCATTTTGTTCATTCTGAGACAAGATGCATGTGAGACCAGCAGGAAGCATTTGACTTATGAGTAGTACTTCATTTGTAATACCTCGTAAAAGAGTGATTAAATGAATGATATGCGCCTTCAGGGTATGTCAATCTGTCTGATTAATAGCATCTCATCGTATAGTGTAGTGTGTGTAGGGTTGTGTGTGGTTTTTGTGTGTGTTGTGTTGTATGGGTTCTTATCCCATTTTAGTATCTTCTTAATATAATGATGTGCAGCTCTCCTGCGTTTTTGAGAAAAAAAAAACATCTCATCGTATAGAGAAGTCAGATAATACTGCATATGGAGGGCTTGAGATATTCTTGTTGCCATAGTTTTCAATTTTTTATTTTTGTCTCTGTTCACTCCGTGGCCTTTTACATTGCTTGTTTTTCCTAACCTTGTTACTGAATCGCAGGCTTCTGGCCGTACTGCAAAATTTGTGGTACCCAGCTAACCTTTCGGACGAGGTGATGACAGATTGGCCGTTAAGGACTGAGACGATTGGTGGTTCATGCCCTAAGACACAGTGAATATTTCTCTTTTCTTTTTGGTTGTACATACATGGTGTGTAGTGTATGCCCCATGAGGCAGAGTAGGATATGTGTATATGTACTAGTAGGTTATTGGAGACTTGGAGTAGTCCTTGCATTTTATTTTCCTTTTGCAACAAATGGTAAATGTATCTTATCTTCCGATAAAGTATAGCTTATTTTGTCGGGGCTTTTGCATGGTTACCATCACTTTGGAGCCTTTTTTCTGTCTGTCATCACCATTGTGTAGTGGGCCACAAGCGTCATGGACCTATAAATTTACTATGCTACTTCTTCCGTCCTAAAATAAACGCGTATTATGTTTTTCGAGAAGTGAAACCCTTTTAAGTTTGACTAGTTCCTTCAAATGAATCTATTATAAAAATATATTCTATAATCAATATAATTAATTTAATAATATTTATTACACATCATACTTATTTTGTATATATATTTAGTTAAATTTAAAATATTTAATTTCTCGGTAAGTGAGATGTGCGCTTATTTTGAGACGACGGAGGGTGTACTCTACTCTCAAGTGACCGAGATACTTCAGGAGTATCGTAATGGGCCCGAGTGTCATGGGCTCGGATCTACACCTGCGAAATGATCTGTTCATCCTCTGAATTATTTTTATTTTTTGCAGGTTCTATGATCGCAAAACTTAGCCCATGCTCAACACATATACGTATCATGCTTTGCTTGATTGTATATGTTTGGAACAATGCACCTGCTTCATTGTATAGGTTTGGAACAATGCACCTGAATGAGCAATCCGTATACATACGTTTGGAACAGTGCGTTTATATAGGTTTGTGTTTGTTAGATTCCTGGCACGCAGCCACACAGGACAGCATGAACTGATGACATATCAAAAGCACTGCGGCATCATCCAAGCCCACAAGGCAAAAACACACCATGGAGCACAGAAAACTAGAATAAATGAAGAAATGCAGCTGTCTTACACCTCTTGCGCTATAGAATGTACAAGTCCAGCTCTATCAACAGACTTAGAGTAGATTAGTTCCTTCCGAGAGAATTACTATGAAGTTAATGTATATAAAACTGAACGCATATACTCGCCTCCAAAACCCAGACCTAAAGGTGAGGGCTATGGCTTTTGAACGGCAGGACACAAGAGTAAGTAACATACTTAACACTATCTATAAGAACGACAACGAAGATCCGGGACAACGATTTTGAAGAGATCCTTCCCTCACCATCCCCGTCGCCAGCCTCTCTGGGATCAGCCAGCACTGAGACGACCACCGATGAAACAGGCTTCGTACTGCCAAAGCTCTCATTCTTCGGTGGTGTTTTGAGGTGCTCGGTGTCGTTGGATGTTGAACCTCTTAAAGGAATGGCCTCAGAGTATGAAATCCTTCTGTTCTTCACCGTGTGAGGATGAGCAGAGGGAAGATTTTGAGTAAAATTCTGTGACGAGTTTGACATGGCATTGGAGTAGACAGGAATGATGCCATTTGAATGAGCAGATGATGGAGATGCATCAAACTGGAAAACTTCAGTGCACATTCCTGAGCTCAGCAAGGGGCCTGAAAACGAGTGCAGGAGCAATGCGCATCAGTAAACAAAGGAATAACATCCACAGTTAGAACAGTAACTTAACAGGTACAAATGAATAAAAGTATACTAAGAAAACACTAAGCATAAAACCCTTTTTACATATAGAAACAAAGCATGTATGATGAAGCTACAACTGAATTATCCAGAAACACCTGTATCCTCACTATGAGCGTAGCTACATCACATATCCACATTATTCATGCATGTTAACACACCAATGCAATTAACTTCAATAGTTTTTTTTTTTTTTTTTTTTTTGGAAACTTGCCAGGAGCACTGGCGCATCATGTAAGACTTGTAAATGGGCAACTACACTTGACCGCGCACTCAAGCGCAATTGAGACTGTCTAAGAGATCTCAGAACGCGTCTACTGAGGCACACACACCATGCCTGCAGTCCCCTCTGGGGAAAATCCCCAGTGCAGCACCCACGGTCGCCCAGACTGGGATTCGAACAGTGGGCGGGCAGCGTGGCCACTGCCAGCGCTACCAACTGAGCTAGAGCTCGTCCGCATTAACTTCAATAGTGACAACTATTGGCCTGACCTACTAACACTCCACATGGTATGATGGTAGCTACTTTCTAAGTGGCCTACAAACCCAAACAAGGATTTATTGCTCTAGTATTGCAGGGAAGATATACAAGCATATATGTGCAAATATGTTGTCCAGCCATATCAACCTCCCATTTCAATTGCTTAGCACTTAAAAGTGAATGCATGATCTTTGAGGCTTCATTACTTTGTGTTAGTTAGCCTACTTGCTAATATTGAAAGTAAGCTTCAAGTAGTGACTGATCTTCAGATCTCATTTATATCACTACTAGTATAAATTACTACAGAAAGCATCATAGCAATATGTTATGTAGGTCATTCCAAACACAACAAAATATTAAACTGAGCAAAGTATGTAAAATTCATAGCATCTTACCAGACATTGCTTCACTAAACCACTGTGGCAGCAATCCATCCTCCTCCCTATACACGTTTCCATCTGCAGGAGCCAAAGCCATCAGTTCATGTTTCATCATTCCTTTGGTTGATTCCATAACCTCTCCTGCTTCCAATGGAGTCACATAGCCAGGAATTGCCAAGCTAGTCTCTTCCTTCTTTTGGTTTTGAGGACTCTTCCCATCATAGCCAGACAACCGCAATGAAGCTTTCTCACTAGCAACAATCGACTTAATAACAAGATTCCCATTAATCTTGACATGTTTCCCATTCTTCGGTAGATACAACAGCGCTGGAAGCGTCTCACTGGCACTCTGTGGCGGCTTTGGATCGATACCATCCGAGACATTATCATGAGGCCCCTCAACAGCCAGCACCCTCCCATGATGAGGTGGACGGAATGCAGCACCTTCTCCAGCATCAACAGAGTCATACATCCGATTTACTGCAGGAATCAAACACCCACAAAGCATCACAAGGCAAAGCAACCCCAGGAAGCTAATACTTGCAACCTTCTTGGTCTTCCTAGCCTTCTTGGCCGGTGGCTCTGCTACAGCAGGTGCAGGCTGCTGGGGTTTCAGACGAGGAATTGGCACCAGCGGTACCTGTGATCCACGCATGGGATACGCCGGGTGCATCCACGGCATCGGCAAAGGATACATCGCGGGGTACATCGGCATCGGCAGCGGGGGCGCGGCTCCAGCAGCGCCACCCAGCTGCTGCTTGAGAGCGGCGTTCTCGGCAGTGACGCAGGAGATCCTGACGGAGAGGTCAGCGATGGTGGCCTGCATGGCCTTCACCTTACCCTCCAGCTCCTCCACGTACTGCTTCTTCCTCTGCCGCGACAGGTGCGCACTCTCGCGGTTGCGTACCAGCCGCGCGCGGCGCTTCGCTTCGTCCTCCTCCCCCTTCCCCTTGCCGATGCCATCAGTGCCGCTCGCGCTCCTCGAAGACGACTCCGAGGACTCCTCGTTCCTCAGCCCGCCGCCGTCCCTGCCGGCGCCGGAAGAGGATGACCCCCGCTCCGGAGACCCAGCCGAGGAGGACGAGGTCGCGAGCGGCGGCGGCTGGGAGAGTTGCCCGTCCGACGCGAAGAGGTCGAGGTCGAAGTCGACGTCCAGGTCCAGATCCTCCAGATCGAAGTCCTCGAACGCGAAGCTTTCGCCGTCGACGGGCGCCTGAAATTCGGGGAAGGGGAGGTCCGCGAAGGGGTCCAGCGCGAGGAGGGCCGGCTCCGCCATGGCCTTGCCTTAGCCGATCTGGTCACGGCCGGCGTATGCGCATACACACACCCCGCGAGGAGGCTGATGGTTGAGTCTCTCGGGATCGCGCTCGCCGACGACGCGGTTGCGGAGGCGTGCAGGGTTTGCCACAAAAAAGTGTGGGGAACCGGGAGGGGTCGGTCGTCGGAATCGGTGGGGTTAATTGGTCGCCGTGTTGGAGACGAAGCCGCCGTGCGTGGCGGTGTGGTCAAAGCATGGAGCTGGACGCCTCTGGAACCTTTGATGGGCCGCCGCTGGAATGGGCCTAAATGCATACAGGCTAGAACTTGGGCCGTATTTTAAATGGGCTGAAACTGCTGGGCGTAGGGTACTAGTAAGAGACAGATTGAGGAGGAAGGCCCAGGTGAAACCGGCATGGCGACGGTCGCAGCCCGCCGCCTCCTCCAGCCGCGATGGGTGGCCGGCGGGCGGTGCCGGCTGCTGGGCACGGCGGCGGAGGCTTCTCCCGGCGGGGACAGCGCGCGAGGAGGGGGAGGATCCGACGACGCGATCTACGTGAAGAAGCCGTCGGCCGCCACGGCCGTGACGACGCGGGACGAGACGTCGGTGGCGATGCCGACGTCGTTCATGACGGGGTCGGTTGTCGGGAAGCGCTTCTACCGCGACGCCACCGTGCGGCGCGCCGACGACGGCAACGGGTGGACCGTGATGTTGGACTACCGCACGCTCAAGTCGCCGGCCAAGCGGCCCCTCAAGCTGCCCTCGCGCGCGCTCGCAATGGCCATCGCCGCCGAGTGGGAGTACCAGGTCCTCATCCCATCCATCCCTTTCTCCTGCTGTATTCTTGAAATGGTCCGACAACATCAAGTTACTTTAGTGCAATGGAAATCTCTACAGGCCGCAAATTTCGTGTTGACTTAATGACTTATTCATGCATATTTGCAAGTAATTTCAAATGGTTTGGATGGAAAAAGTATCTGATTAGCGCCTGATTTATCCTCTAGCTTAGTAGTTAGTAGTGAATTATGAGACTTTTGCGACCATTAGTTCAGCATTTGAAATGAATTGAGTTCAGCCTTTTTATCTTAAGTATATCCATAGGGGTTAAAGAATGACCTATTTTGATGATTTCTCCAGGTCTCGAATCCTGGAGTGGCCTATGCATATTTGCATGAACTTCAAATGATTTTGATGGAGACATTCTAGTTAGCGCCTTACTAGACCGTGATCTGATCTCAAGGTTTAGTTCATCCAGGCCAGTAGTGAAGTGCGAGCTTGATAGTGCTCACTTAGTATTCCTCGTCTCATGTGTAATCTGGGTTGATATCACTCTATCTGGTGGGTTTGAAATGTGTACACTCAAATTACACAAGTTTGGCTGGGTAGACACTGCTATCTGTTCCTTTTGTTTCTTCTGGGTGAGGCTAGACGGCTGTAGATTAACTAAAAAGATTGATAAAAAATTTGAAGAAAATAAACCAAGTAATTTGAAGTCTGATACTGGAGGTTGTTCCATCATGGCAGGATATGTAGTTCATGGACCTCACCTATGTAGATAATATAACGTTTTGGTTTTATTTGTTTGTTTCTTACATCTACAACAGAAATTGGTTAATATTATAAATTGTCAATTTCAACTCCTGCAACAGGCAAATAAATTGTATTCTGTTTTAAACCTAGGCATCGATACAAAACAAATACTACTGATTGAGCATCACCACAAAATGTCTTTCTTGCTTACTGCAGTGGGTGAACATAACAAAACATCGTATTCCTTATTTTTATATGAAGTTTTCACCTGATAAGAAATTGATATCATCTTTTTTTGTCTCTGTTAGCACCATGATTTTGTCATCCCACTGCTTGGTCCCCCTGCAGCTATGACATTTGTGTATGTTTGAGTTCATGTCATGAGCCTGTGACATGTGCCCATTAATAATCAACCAGAGAAGTTGCATCACGTTGCTTTCTTTTCTGGTCTACCACCTTGCATTTATATCTCAGTTATCTTATTTGCGGATGTTATATTTCATTTATTTTCTTAATTTCCATGGAATAGATCCTGATCCTGATTATCTTGTTATGATAGGAATCAGATGGAATTCGACCTTTCACAATGCCTCTCATGAAGCTTGCTTGTACTGCATTGGAGAGAGTTCCTTTGACACGTAGAAAAGTAATTGATAATTTGATGAAGAAATTTCATCAAGATTTGGTATTCTGTCGTTCACCTGCTGATAGTGAACTGACCATTGGAGTTCATCGTAAGTTGTGTTCTCATGACTTTGTTTGGTATAAACGAGGTTCATATGTTTAAAAACTGTTTTAATCCCCCTAGAAGATCTATACCAGTGTTTGGTTCAATTCTTAATTTCTTATTCTTCCTGAATTTCTGTCTGTAGAAAAGCAGAAGGAGAAAATTGATCCAATTCTGGAGTGGGTAGATACTGAATTTGGGTTCAAGCCCGTTGTCTACACGACCTTCTTTGGGGGAAAGCAAGATGAGGGCCTTGCTAAGGCTGTAGAAACTGTTCTTAAGAAAGCAACTGACTGTGAGTTGGCATCTATTGATGCTATGGCTGCTGCAGCCCATTCCCTGGTGATCCCTCTTGCAATATTTAGAGAAAGGTTGGGTATTGAGGAGGCCATTGAGTTGATCAGGCTAGAAGAAGACCACCAGGTGTTTATCCCGCAACCATCATGTTCCTCTGCTGTTTAGAATCATTTGTCCTTTATTTCGTCTTAAGGTTTTTGAATGTACTCAGGTTGACCGATGGGGCTTGGTGGAAGGAGGTCATGACGTTGATATTGCCGATCTTAAAGTGCAGATGTCCTCGGCTGTTGTATTTCTTGAGCTTACATGGGGACTGTGAACGATCCTGTTTCTAATCTATATGTTGGTTAGTTGTTTATTTCCAGGCTTGTATTAATCTAATACCAAGAGTTGTAGAAAATAATTGCTGCAGGAGCTGGATAGCAAACAAAGTATATGTATTCAACAATCAGCAGTTCTGTTGTTAGATTTTGGATTGAGTTGAGAAAATGCTGTTAAGGTATGAACTAGGGAGCCCAGCATTCCTTTGGCTTTGTACTGGTAATGCTGTGAGAATAAGAATATAATCTGCGAACTAGTTTTGCAGTGGCAGTCATGAGTAACATTCTTTTTGATGGAGTAGAACTCATTCATGAATCCCTACTCTCTCTGTCCATAAAAAAATTGTATTTTTTGCTTTTATAGAGTCAATCAGATTAATTTTTATCTAAAGTTTTATAAAAATACTAACATTCATGATACAAAATAAGGATTGTTAGATTAATCATATTTTTATAATAATTCTTTAGAGATAGATGTTAATACTATTTATTATAAAACTGACTTGTTTAATTGGCATAAATCTTCTAGTTGTATTCTTTTGTAGACATGAGTCAGTCAGGGAGCTACAGGAGCTACGTCATGACTTTAGGCGAGTTTGGACCATTGAATAGATGATATACGTGGACTTAGTGAAGGGACGGAATGATAGTTCCTCCGACGTTCGTGGAGCAAATTTAGAGAGGTACGAGTGCCTCACACGGCTCCATCCGTGCGTTCACCGTTCAGCGCTGCCTAATCTGTCCTAAAATACATTGAGTAGTCACCTAATTTTAAATTTGACTAGATTTCTACAAAATAGTATTAATATTTTTACACTTAAATAGATTCAGCATAAAAATATAGGACGTGATTAATCTAAAGATACTTATTGATATTATGAGTATGGGTACTTATATATATTTGATCAAATTTTAGATTGTTTTAACTTCTCAAAATGCAAGATGCATATCTATTTTGATATGGAGGGAATAGACTAGACCGGTGCTATATAGTATCCCTAGGCATTGATGAACTCGACAGGTGGCTTGGTACCGTCCTGTTTGGTAACCTCAAGCCTCAGGACACAAGTGCGCCCCATCGCAAGTTATATCTGCCAAATTTCCGTCTTATGGTTCTACCCACAATTTATAGAAAAGTACTAGTAATATTCGTATCTTTAAATAAATCTAATATAAAATATATTCAATGATTAATTAATCCAATGATTTTTTGTTACGTACTATAAATATTTTTTTTTCGATCACACAAAAAAAACATACTATAAATATTAGTAATCTCTTGTAAATAGTTAGAGACTGAGAAAGTGACGAAGAGACTACAACTCTCTTTATTCACCCATGGCAGGCTGTGCTTTTCAATTTTTCTCCATACGTAAGTTCAGATACTACAACTTCTACTCGAAGTATCGAGGCATTCAAAAAAAATTCCTCCATATGGTTCTACAACTCTCTCTATCATCTTTTGTCATTTGAAAGCATGTGCGAGCCCTTCTTTTGCTAAGATCGTTGTGTCTGGTGGTTGTGGTTAACAGTAACCACGATGTCGCCCCCCGTCCTCGTGTTGTGCATGACCTCAGGGCACTCCCAATATAGAAACCACCATAGTTTCTATGGACATTAATTGTACTGCCACCTAAGCGTTTGCTAATATGGCAAGATAGTTATTGAAGAGAGAGAGAGAGTAAAAATCATAGAAACTAGGTCTAAGTTAAAATCATGTCTACACAAGAACCAAGACATGAATGGATGTGATTGGTAGAAAATAAAGAGAAAATATATGTGATTGGATAAAAAATTATTCTATAAAATTATCCATGGAACCATGATTTATATATGTAGTATCTATGAAAATTAATAGGTAACATGTAGTTTTTAGCATTGGGACTGCCCTTATCTACCTACTCCCTCTATCTAAAAAAAATCATTCTCGCTTCTCAAAAAGTCAGTAACTTTTAATTTTGACCAAATATATTTAACAAAATATTAATATTTATCGTACATAATTAGTATCATTAGATAGATCGTTGAATATACTTTCATAATAAATTATTTGAAGATATAAATGTTGCACGTATTTTCTACAAACCTAGCCAAAATTGAGAAAGTTTGACCAATACGATTCTCATAGCAACTCTATTTTGGAGATGGATGGAGTTGTTTTTTTTTAATAGAGAAAAGTGCCCCAAGCCGCTGCAGAGATCGTTGACCAGCAACACCGACCCCCATACATACAGTATGCTCCATGTAGTTGTGTATACCGTACATCGGATGACTGCCGCATGGGCACAGTCCGTATTCGACAGCAGGTGTTTTCAGGGAAAAAAATTGTATGGGCGATGGGAGCACCCTGCTGCTGGTGCCACCCCCAGCGCGATGCCTGCCGCGTGGAAGCCCGTTCCATCCAAAGGCAGCGGTAAACTTCTCGCCCCATCGGATCCACTTCGCAGATGGCTCGGCTCCGCGCGGTGGACGGCTCGGCTACACATCCCAGATGGTTCGGCTCCGTATGCAGACAGCTCGGCCTTCACATCACGGCCCAAATCTCCTCTGACTCCGCCGTAGCCAGAGCACGGCGCGGCCTGTACTCGCGGTGTGCCCGGGGAGGTCACGAAGGACCACCGCGCGGCTGAGCGAGGCGCATCTGCTGCGGCGCCTGCAGCAGTGGTCGCCTGCACAGACGGGCAGGGAGAGGAGAGGGAGACGGGAGTGGCGGCGGCGGATTGGGAGGAGATCCAGAGGTGACGGCGGTGGGTTGGGAGGAGCTCCAGAGGTTTGTGCCGTCCTCTCGGTGACCTGGGCCTCAACCTGGGCGCCCTCGCCGTCTGCCGCGCAGACCCCATCGATTTGGATCAGGTATGTTTTATCCAGCACTCTTGCTGATTCATGTACAGACTTTATCTGTATCCATCCTGATGGCTGCTAAAATGGCATACAGTTTGGATACTTTGGAAAATTGGAGCGATATGTATTTGCAGGAAACAGGATGTATGGTACACTGCAGCAGTGTGACCCATCTGACAAATGATTCAGGAACTATGGGATTCCTTGAAGAATTGAAAGTGTGCCTGAATGTAGATGTTTCAGAATGACAGAGAGGTTGTCAACAATTGTATCAGTGTTGAGTTCATTTATACCTGTGAAAATAGTGGTTCGCAAGAATAATGTAAATGTGAAGGATGGCTGGGACACCTTCATGTTTAAGCAATCTCATAACTGGGATGTCCTTTCACTGCTTGAGGAAGTGAAGAAGAAGAAGCTAAGCACTAAGACTGGAACTTCAGGAAGTGGAATGGCCTGGGTCAGTCTCGACCTGGGAAAAGAGAACTGAGATGCTTCAAGCCTTGAAGATTCTGGTGGTGTATATACATGGTGATCTGAACTGGGGAGCTATGCTTATGCTTAGTGGTAGTAGGTGTAGCTTGGGATTGTCTGTTTAGTTTCTATTTTCAGTGAGGTTTCGTCAGAGAACTATATTGTTGGGTGTGATCCACCTGAATGTTGTAATCCGGATGATTTGTGTCTTTGCTAATGCTAAGACAGGGCCGGTGCCCTCAAATTCTTAAAAAAATATTTGGATGTTTTAAAATCAGCAGTGGAATGTGTCTTAATAATCTGAAATGCAAAATTCTAAGCAAAGCCAACAGAATATACATATTTCATTTCATAAGGTGACTTGACAGCAAATGAGCACAGTTACATAGATTCATGATTTTGCACTCCATCAAAATGTAACTTCCTAACAGCAGTTTGCATTGTAGCATCTTGATCAACTCACACTAAGAGACTTGTGTATCCTCCTGGAATATATGGAGCAGCCATTGCAGAAGGTTCTGGAATTAGATTGAAGTGTGTCATTGTGGAATTAGCATATCCACCTTGCAGGAAAAGAGCATCCATGGATGAAGATGGCCCAGCATTAAAATTCTGTCATATATAGCATAAGAAAGTGTTCACAAAACATGCTTGTAAGGGAATAAATTGTGAAAATAGCTAATGTCTTACAGTTATTTGGTTTGAATCAGCATGTTCATCTCTTGTTTCTACATCATTATTTTCCAGATCTTCACCTACAATGAAATATATTTATATATCATAATACAGTATTTTAAAAAATTGTAGACATAAGCAAAAGGTTAGTACCTTTTTTCTGACCACCTTTCTTCTTCTTCTTCCCTACCTTCTTTTCAACAGCATTTTTAAAACGTGTATTCTTTGATCCTTTTATTACTTGGGGAATTCTAAATGATATTACACCATTTAATGGTTGTTGGACTTCATTTGGGATTGGAGGAACCTCGTTGGATTTTTCATGCATCTCAATCAGATAAGTATCCGCTTCGAGGTTCAAGTTATGTATAGCTTTCTGCAATTTATCAAGAAGTTCTTTTGACGGTGAACACTTCAATGCAAGAGATGTGGCCTGTCGAGATATAAGTGCTGCCTGTGTTTTTAAATCTCCCGTTTCAGTTCCTTGTTTCTCAATATAAAATTCACTTTTCGCATATTTTGTCCATCTAGGCAGTATATATTGCGATGGCAAATTGTATACTCCATTCGTATTGAAGACTCTAAGAGCATGCTTGCACAATAAACCTGTAAGATATAGTTGCCAATTTAAACAAACCATATTACAGCTTACAATGTATAAATTGAAATGTAAATAGTATACATACCTATGGATTCAAACATCCGACAAGAGCATGTAATGGTGGAATCTTCAGTGTTCAATACTACTGTTGCTCCACGGTCAGACTGCATGTACTTAACAAAGAATGTCTTGTTTGTCCCCGCAGCTTCCAACAATTCACAAGACAACGTAAACTGTCTCTTAAATTCTTCCTCAAACTCTGAATACATTCTCCTTGTATATGATTCAGCTGCAGTATTCAACATTGGTAGATTTGGAATGTATGCAACCGGGTTCTTTCGACGTGACTTAAAATCAGCATCCAACTCATTTGCACGGAAACTAACTGCAACCTTCTCACATTCTACAAGGAGCTCAGAAAGACCAAGTCTCCTACGAAATCTTTTTTTAAGACATTATTCATACCTTCACTCCTTTGGGTCGAGTTCATGTCTGCTGTAAAAGAGTCATGGTACACCGCAGCCCACTTTGCCCTCAAAGCATATAGGTTTGCCATCCATGAGTTATTCTCAAGGTTGTATTTAGCCAACAATTCATGCCATTTCTCTATGAAGTAAGTCTCTGACCTGTCTTCGTACACACAGTTTTTGAAATCTGGTAGGAACTTGTTATCCGACTCATGAATTACATGACTAAGATGTTTAGCAGCATTTAAGCAAATGTGCCACAAACAAAGACGGTGGCTTGTATTTGGGAATACATAAGCAATTGCTGTTGCCATAGCCGCGTCTTGATCTGTAAAAATTGTGCTATGGTGCTTTCCTGACATTGCCGTTAGAAAGGTTTCAAAAAACCAAACAAATGATTTAATAGTTTCATTAAATAGAAGTGCACACCCAAAAATTACGGTTTGCTTGTGATGGTTGCAGCCAAGAATCGGAGTAAAAGGCATTTCAAACTTATTAGATTGAAATGTGGTGTCAAATGACACAGCATCACCAAAGCATTTGTAATCCATGATAGACTGACCATCTGCCCAAAAGAAATTTGCTATACGACCATCTTCCTTGTCTACCTGAAATGCATAAAAAAATGTAGGATCATGTAACTATTTATTTCTCAGATATTCAGATAGTGTTTGTGCATCATTGGCTTCTAAGTATTGTCTGCGCTTGCGACCAATCTCATTATTGCAATCCATCTTAGCAAATGGTGTGTTCTCTTCTTCTCCATAAAACTCCTTCATGAACTCATAAATTTGGGATGGCTTCATTCCAGCTTCCCGTATCTGCCCAATTAATTTCCTGTCTGCCTCTATAACCTGTCGTTGGGACCTTAGCTTGTGTGACTTATTTGGACTAGCAAGATAATGATTGTGCTGTTCTACAACCTTTTGCACCGTCCAAATCCCCTCTTTGCTGATACTAAACTGGACACGAGCATCACAACCCGTCCTTGTAATGTCCTTTTGTGATGACTCATTTTCTCGTTGTCCTTGACTACTGCAAACTATATATTTCTGACATAGACTACCATCTTGGCGGTGCTTTGTCTTGCTCTTTCTAATACTGAACCCAACCTTGCCGGCATAGGTGTTGTACATCTCATAAGCTCCTTCCTCAGATTGAAATGTCATTCCAACTTTAGGAGTGATCAAATTGTGCCCAGCTTTACGAACCACCTCCTGTACATATAAATTTTCAATTAAAGGTGTACTAAAAATAAACAAAATATCATATATTCTGTAAGTTTGTTAAATACTTTTTTACCTCGTCAGGTACTTCATTCTCCACTGGTACTTCATTCTGTGAAATGGTGCCGATAGTCTCTACTCCCATGGTAACCGACGTGGTGTTCTGTGAAATATGCACACTATATGTCAGAAAGCAAACAACATAGAAGAAAAGACACAACGATCTAATCAGATAACTGACCTGTGTTATCTGTTGTTCTCCTTCGAGACGACCACCGTCAACAGCATCAATTTCTAGTGCACGTGAATCCTCCATGAGCAGAAGATGGCATTAGGTCAACTGTAGGTTCATCCATGGAATCGGCGGCGGCGGCGACGGCGTGCAACAGCCACACTAGTCTAGGGCTCAAGGCACGATCTATTGGGGCATCTTGTATTCCAGCTGAGCCGATGAGGATCGAGGAGCCGAGCTGTGTGCCTGTTTGCCTTCCATCGGAGCGTCGTTTCCAGCTGTTGTAGGATGAAAGGGCCATACACGTGGCGTCCATCCGGCTGGGGGTAGCACGCGCCGCGCGCTGGACCCATCGTCCATGCAATTTTTTCCGTTTTCAGCGTGTGAGCGCGTGGAAGCCGAGTGGGCCGAACCACAGGTGAGGGGACGACTGACGTCGATTCCCCTTAGGTGGACATGTGGCAGTCGATAGGAGCGTGTAAGCTGAGTGGATACTGTATGCATAGAATTTTTTTCCCGTATCGCGCGGCTCCTCTGCGGCCGTGCACGCGACCGGCGACCGCGACGCGCGCGCCATTGCCTCTGTTGACGACTTCAATTTGCCGCGCCGGCCGATCACATGGGATGGGGCATTCCCTCCGTTGCTGTAATTTCGAAAGCACTGGCCCCCCGCGTGGCAACGTCGCTCGCCACAAACACAGAGCACGCGTCGCCACGCCAACAGTTCCGTCTCATCACGTACTGCGCTGCCCACACGACACCCGAGCTGTCAGCTGTGCAGCGCCGCTATATATCGCGCGTCCAACTCCAGGGCGACACCGATCCAGCAAAGATACCGAGCAGGCCAGAGCCAAGAACTGGAGGCCATGGCCAGCGACAGCAGCAACCAAGCAGGAGCAGCAGAAGCCAAGCTGAAGCCGAAGCCGCCGCCGCTGCCGCTATCGGTGCGGCTCCAGCTGGCCGGGCTGACGGCTGCCATCGACGCCGTGGAGCGGCGCGACGGGACGGTGAACCGCTGCCTGTACGGCGTGATCGACCGGCTCCTGAGCGCGCGCGCCAACCCACGGCCGGACGCGTCCGGCGTGCGCTCCTTCGACTTCACCATGGACGCGTCCCGCGGCATCTGGGCGCGCGTCTTCGCCCCGGCCACGGCGGACCGCCCGCTCCCAGTCGTCGTGTACTACCACGGCGGCGGCTTCGCGCTTTTCTCCCCGGCAATCGGGCCCTTCAACGGCGTGTGCCGCCGCCTGTGCGCCGCGCTCGGCGCCGTCGTGGTGTCCGTCAACTACCGCCTGGCCCCCGAGCACCGGTGGCCCGCCGCCTACGACGACGGCGTCGACGCGCTGCGGTTCCTCGACTCCCGCGGCGGCGTCCCGGGCCTGGACGACGACGTGCCCGTCGACCTCGGCAGCTGCTTCCTGGCCGGGGAGAGCGCGGGCGGCAACATCGTGCACCACGTCGCCAACCGTTGGGCCGCCGCGTGGCAGGCGTCCGCACTGACGCTCCGCGTCGCGGGCGTCTTCCCCGTGCAGCCCTACTTTGGCGGCGTGGAGCGCACGCCGTCGGAGCTGGCGCTGGAGGGCGTGGCGCCCGTGGTGAACCTCCGGCGCTCCGACTTCTCGTGGACCGCGTTCCTCCCCGTCGGCGCCACCCGCGACCACCCCGCTGCGCACGTCACCGACGACAACGCCGACCTCGCCGAGCAGTTCCCGCCCGCCATGGTCATCATCGGCGGCTTCGACCCGCTCATGGACTGGCAGAGGCGGTACGCCGACGTGCTGCGCCGGAAGGGGAAGGAGGTGCTGGTGGCGGAGTACCCCGGCATGTTCCACGGCTTCTACGGCTTCCCGGAGCTCCCTGAGGCCACCAAGGTGTTGCAGGACATGAAGGCCTTCGTCGACAGCCACAGGGCCACGCCCAAGCTCGCCGACGCGTGATGAACGAACAGACGAACTCCATTCCATTCTAGTGTTGTGTTGGTTGGTTCATCACTTGATCTATCTGCTGTCAACCCAATTATGAAATTGCTCATGTTTCTCGCGTGTATGACTATATTATTTATAGTAGTATATTCTGATCGATGATGTAGCGTCAAAACTCCAACCAAAGCTCTTTATTACCTACCTTACCTGTGAAGGGAAGGGAGATCGTTCATTCACATGCTGCCACTAACCTCTCCTAGCGCAATCGTGATTGAGATCGACTTTGAGATACAGTTAGAGATGATCGAGGTGGCAAGAACAAATATCACATGGCGTCGTCCTGTTCGCCATTTCCGCTAAGGCCTAAGGCCGCCAGCCTCGTGGCCCGACTGCGCAAGGTCAGCGACGTACGTACGTGGTGACCGTGCTTGCCAGTGCAGGATCGATCAGTATAGATGGATGAGTGTTATCTGGAGAGAGGATTGCACCGGCAGCGACGTGATCCGCCGACAGCAACACCTCACTGAATTCGGCTAGGTGAGTGAGTAGTTTTGGTTGGCTTTGCGGTTGACGACGACCAGCAGGATAAGATCGATTCCATGTGACCATTCATTGTTGCCGTGAGCGTGATATTGTGTCGAAACTTGCTAATACGTGTGGCTCAGTACTCACTAGTCACTACTCCTGGTCTCCTGCCAGTAATGATTTCAGCAACGTACTACCATCCCAGGAGCGAGAGCTAGTAGCGAGATGGAACCAGGCGCCGGCACCGGGGAAGGAGCGCCGAGCGCGCCGCGCAGGGCGGCCCTGCCGTGGAAGGTGCGGCTCATGCTCTTCGCCCTCAACGTCGCCGCCGGCCTCTCGATGCGTCGCGACGGCACCATCAACCGCTCCGTCTTCAGCCTCTTCGACCGCCGTGCCCGCGCCAGCGCGCGCCCGGACGTGCACGGCGTCCGGTCCGCCGACGTGGAAGTGGACGCGTCGCGCGGCCTGTGGGGGCGCGTGTTCTCGCCGTCGGAGGCGGCCTCGTCCGCGTCCCCGCTCCCCGTCGTGGTCTACTTCCACGGCGGCGCATTCGCGCTGCTCTCCGCGGCCTCGGTCCCCTACGACGCCATGTGCCGCCTGTTCTGCCGCGAGCTGGGCGCCGTCGTCGTGTCCGTCGACTACCGCCTCGCCCCGGAGCACCGCTGCCCCGCCGCGTACGAAGACGGCGTCGACATTCTCCGGTACCTCGCGAACGCGGGGCTCCCCGACGGCGTCGCCGTCCCGGTCGACCTCTCCCGCTGCTTCCTCGCCGGGGACAGCGCTGGCGCCAACATCGCCCACCACGTGGCGCAGCGCTGGACGACGGCCTGCGTCGCGTCCTCCTCGTCCGTGCCGCGTTCCAGCCCATTCCGCCTCGCGGGCGTCGTCCTGGTGCAGCCGTACTTGGGCGGCGAGGAGCGGACGGACGCTGAGGTCAGGCTGGACGGGAAGGTGCCGGTGGTGACCGTGCGGGGCTCGGACTGGATGTGGCGGGCTTTCCTGCCGGAAGGCGCCGACCGGAACCACCCCGCCGCGCACGTGACCGACGAGAACGCCGACCTGGCGGACGGCTTTCCGCCGGCGATGGTGGTGATCGGCGGCCTCGACCCGTTGCAGGATTGGCAGAGGCGGTACGCCGACGTGCTGCGGCGGAAGGGGAAGGCGGTGCGGGTGGTAGAGTTCCCGGAGGCCATTCACACGTTCTTCTTCTTCCCCGAGCTCCCCGACTGCGCTAGGCTCGTGGAGGCGATGAAGGCGTTCATAGATGACAGCAACGCATCCTCTGACTCGGCTGCCTGACTGATCATCAACCCTAAGAGGTCCCGGCGGAAGCAACGTGGACCTACTTGGCCCTATTGGTCCTCTCTCCGCGTGCTTTATCCATGTGCACGAACTGTGTACAACTATCATCATTCTTGCCTTAAAATTATTATCAGCTGTATAATTTATACTGATGTCAAATTAAGTTAGACTTATGTTTCCTTTTATAGTCTTTTTTTTTGACGATGTTTCCTTTTATAGTCACTCCATTCCTTTATAAACCACTATCAAGTCTCTCACAAATTGTTCGGTTCATTAAGGATCAGTTTGCTAGAGCCCTCATTCATGATTCTTGAGTTTCACTTCTTAATTCCTCAAATGGAGTGGTTTTAGTGGAGAGTAGGTTGGGGAGTAGGTGAGAATCAATTCTGAAGTGATTCTAATGGTGGTTGAACATGGAGTAGTAGAAAGCGGTGGAGAGCGGGGTTCTTTTTAGCTCACAGCTCGTAATGTAAATGGAGAAGTGATCCTCGTCAGGTCTCCACCAGAATTTAGTTGCATTTTAAGTGTTTCTTAGGGTTCCACAGAATCTGCTCCAAAGAAGCTAGGAGCGGAGCTTTGCTGAACTGAACTTAGCTCCTATTCTATATTAAATTTTAGATCATCTTGCACATTATTTTGGGATTTATAGTTGCCTTTTTTCCTAAAACACTGTCGAAATTTATCACAGCGTTGCTCATATCTTCTAGAACTACTACTGTCCCAAATACCTGCCGCCTCAAGCATTCCCAAAAACAAATAGTAGAACCATCACCGGCCATCTACTCATCTCGGGCTTGCTATCTATGACCTACGAGGAACTAGGTGGTTTTTTATTAAAAAGAGAAATAGACACCCAAATTCAGTCCAAGACAGAATTTGAACCTGGGTGTTTGGGTGCATAGCCACACCTCTCACCCAAGCAGTTGAGCTAGGTTCATTTCCTTTTGCTTGTAATATTATGGAGAAAGAAAATCTAATGATATCTATTAGGCTGTTTGCAAGCTTCTTACGCATGTGCATCATGGAATAGATTGACAAATTGTAAATTGCACTTAAAGTGTCAAAAGACAATATGTTTTTTGATTTGGTCATAATATGAGAATCATGATGCCAAAACTTGTTCTTTCTCTAGGTCACCGCCTTGAAATCTGTCAAATTTGTATCATGATCATTGGAATCGACACTCAGTCGTTTTCTCTTTGCTGACGTCAATGATGATGCGTATTTTTTTGGTCATGAAGGGAAAGGGCAACTCCAACGAGCTTAGAGCTATAGAAAGGGAACAAATAGAAATTGGAGGTTTAAAGTACGACATGAAAAAATGATTTTGATTATTTTTCGTTTGAGTGCTACACAACAAGCCGGATGATTTGAGTGAACGAGACCAAAGATCTGTTTTGCTTCAACACAAAACCAGCCGATTCTGAAAACCCAACGACGTGCCAGTTAATTTGACCTGCAATTGACAAGGAGAGAAAATCTTATCAGTAATTTAAAGTGGAACATGCCGGCGTTGCACCAGATAGTTCCAAATGTACGACTAGATAGCCGATTCAATAAGGCTATCGACTAAATAGTCGATATCCTACGTATCTATGAAATGAAAATATTTAAATCAAGGATTATCGGCTAATATTAAATGATAATGATATGAATTAAAATAACCGATGCTCATGAATCATCAAAAAATATCATCGGCTAAATGGAACATAATCGATATAAAGCGTCGAGCCGATAAGTTTGATGAAAAGAGTATAACATGCGAACAAATCGACTGTCTAATATAAATGAATCTACAAATAGTTTGAATCTAATCTATTATCATCAACAGTGAGGTTCGATCGGATCGATGCAGCTATGATAATAATAACAATCTAAAGCCAAAGAATCTATAAAACCATCTATATGTTCATAGATTCATGAAAACATACTATATGCGTGAGAGTATAGGCAAATCGACTAAAATAGCCGATACAGTCATAGCAAACAAACATAGTACATATCTTGATCATGAACAAGACCACTAATTGATAATTTCTAATCTAAAGTCTTACTAGCGAGGTTCGACCGAATCGATGTAGCTATATTAGTGTCATTAGATTAGATCTCATTAACTAGTGAGTTTATTCAAGATTGAAACATGTCTTTAAATGCATACTATATTTGATTGGAATAGAGATAAAACAGTCGATCTAGCGGAATTAAACCAACAATTATAAGATTTAAAGCGTGACCAGATCAAAGAATGACCAATTAAGATGATATAATGCTGATCTATCTCTATCTCAATCGGGTGATTTATTATAATTAATAAAACATTAATAATAACAAGATTGATAATTGGTGAATCAAACAAAAATAGTAAGAAAAATCTTACTAATCTTAGCAGATTCGATAACCGGTGATATTGTATTAGACAACAAGTTATTTAACACAAGATCGATAACTTTGATCTATATTATGATTCGTAAGAGATCAATCAGCGGATACAACCTTACAAACTACGATACAGATCGATAACTAACTTATATTATGGCTCATAAAAGATTAATCAGCTGATGCAGCTTTACAAGCATAATACAAGTTGTGACAGTACTCACAAGCAAGCTGGAGGTCGATCAGTCGATGCAGCCCTGTTTGCTGAAGAACTCGTCGAGATCTATGGTACTCCTACTCATAATGTGACGGCGAAAGCCGAAAAAATTGTATTGATTGAGTGTTCATTCTTTTTGTATAATAACCAGGGTCTAATATTTATATCCGGAACCCAAATATAAATTCTACTCAAATACGAGTCATTATAATTCTTGGAATAAAAGAAAACTTCCTAACTTAATAATAACTTGGACCCTAATTTTTCTTATTTGTAGAGTCCGACACATCTTTCTGGCGCCATTCAAGCATAGCCCATTGACGCCGTCTACTGACGTCATATATAAAATAGCTGATTCTGACATCGCATCTAAATCAGTTGATACCGATTCACATCTAATTGATTCCTTGATGATAAAATCATAAAAGCTTTAAGTTTCCGCATTCTTCTTTTTAAATTTTAGTGTAAACAATCTCTAAGCTTCTCAAAATTATGAGAAAAGCCCTAGATATAGATTGGATACAACAAACCCAAGTTCAATATTTACCAGGAAAGTGTCTCTAAAAACTTCCAAAAAATTAGCATCGGAAAAAATATAAAAACATCTATAAAAATATGGAAATTTCCCAAAGCATGTTAATCAATGCCGAAACATTTTGAAAACTTTCTATAACAAAAACATAATATGCAACCATCATGATTGCATTTAGAATTAAATGTATGTTTTATTCGCTAATTTCGTCACATATTTTGTTGTGGAGAATTTTTTTAAAATGCATTTAGACATCAATTAGAACGTTTTGGGAATTTCCACATTTGTCTAAATGTGTTTCTATTTTCCTAGAGCTAAATCTAATCTTTGAAACCTTATAGATATATTTTTGATGAGCTCTAAATATTTATCTAGATCTCTTATGTCCTAATCTATCTCTAAAGAGTTTTCTCATAATTTTTAGAAGCTTAGAGGCATCTTTCATGGTTTTAAGAACCTTATCAGGTATTTGTTGGGTTTTTTTAATTATATAAAAATTCTTTAAAGACCACTTCTAACTTGATAGGGAGTTAATTTAAATAATTTTAAGAGTTGAGAGCGGCAGCATATCCAATTTTGAAGTTCGATGAGAAAATTCAGAACGTGGCACTGGTTCATCGATGTAAAATGAAATTTTCCCATAGTTGTATTCATTTCCTTCTTGAACTGTTTGGGCCATTATGTAGGCCCTTTAGTTAAATCGTGGAACTGGACAGCAAACAAAGCAGCCCAACATTTCAGGGCCCAGGTCCATCGACCGCCCGGCCTCCTCTCCCCTACAGTCCAGTGGCCACTGCCTCGGCCGCAGGCAGCCATCGCCTCGCCCTCCTGCATCCTCTCTCTCTCTCTTCCCCGTCTCGCCTCCTGACGCCATTAAACCCCACCCGCGCGCGCGGCGGCCGGCGGAGAGCCCCTACCCATCCGAGCAAGCGGAGGAGGAAGCGCGCGCGGCAGTAGCAGGAGGAGGTATGGGTACCCTGGGGCGCGCGATCTTCACGGTGGGCAAGTGGATCCGGGGCACGGGGCAGGCCGTGGACCGCCTCGGATCCACCATCCAGGGCGGGCTCCGCGTCGAGGAGCAGGGTAAGCGTCCGCCTCCTCCCGCTCCGTCCCTCTCCCCTTCTCCTCCTTCTCCTCGCCCCACCCTGTGGCTGTTTTCTTTACTCACAAAGGATGGGTCGTCTCCTCGTCTAATCATTTCGATGCGGCGCAGAGGTAGTTGTATGCCATCGGTCAGTTCATGCTGTTCGTCTTTTAGGATCTGCTAGAGCCAGATCAGGCTGATTCAGTGGCGATCGTGTTCTTCGTTGTTCTCACACTTGGGGCTGTGCCCAAAGGGGGAGAATAAAGCTGAAATAGTATTCGTGAAGGATGGATTAGCTATGGATATGCGTAATGTGGTTTGATCATCTGAATAAAGCTAAAATGAGCATTTCGTTTACTGTTTACATTAAACTACCATGCCCCTTTTATATGGTATATGTTTGTTTCCAATGCCATCACACATTCGTGAAATGTTGCCACTGCAGTCACTATTTTTTCCTGTGGAAGTCATGTACAACAGGAATTGGTTAACACAATCGTACTATCTTCTGTTAATATGTCCAGCTAGCATTCCAGTTTCAAGTGATCTTGTATGCAATTCTCTCTTCCCTAGCATCATAATAATGCACAACTGGTGAATTACCAGGTATTTGCGTGATTTTGGCAGTTGGCACAATAATGACGAATGTGTGTCTGATTTTTTTAGTGCTTTGCACTTAACTCCATTTGAAGGGCGGGCCTGGTGCAAGTGGTAGAGTCTTACCGCCTGTGACCGGGAGGTCCTAGGTTCGAGTCGCAGTCTCCTCGCATTGCACAGGCGAGGGTAAGTCTTGCCACTGACACCCTTCCCCAGACCCCGCACAGAGTGGGAGCTCTCTGCACTGGGTACGCCCTTTTTTTTGCACTTAACTCCATTTATCATTTTAGAGTCGATCATGCACTTATGACTTCTGTGATATGCAAAGACATTAGTTGCTGACTAGTTGGTTACCCTTTTGTATGCTATTTTCAGTTTCAAGGCATCGTACAATCATGAACATTTTTGAGAAAGAGCCAAGGATCCATAGAGACGTGTTTGTTGCTCCCAGTGCAGCAGTCATTGGTGATGTTGAGATTGGGCATGGATCATCAATCTGGTATGGATCCATATTGAGAGGTAAACCCTTGAACAATATGCTTTGTACATGATAGATGTTCTTTGAGCTGCAATGCTCGTAGTCATGATGGTTTCCTTCGGTGTTTTTCATTTAGTGGTCATGGTCGTTAACACAGAGCTGTGCAGCAGAATACTATGTTGCGCACAGTATATCCGACATACCAATGAAACTAAGTAGTGGGAAACATTTAGTTTACTACCAGAGTAATTCTTTGTCTGCAGTAGGACACTATCATACATACAGGTGAACTGCTGTTAGATTTCCAAATATACAAATATTTCTAAGAAATAAGTGTACTCAGAAATAATCACCTGATTCATTATAGTAGCTATCAATTTTTCTGTCAGTTTCAAGTTTGTCAGGGTTAGGCCCTGTTGCATCACCACAATCTGTTACTGAAAAGTTAATATTCCACCCAAGAGAAGGTGTTCGATGTATACTTGTTTATCACTTTGGCTAGTACATCTAAAAATAACTGCCATAAGATTCAAACCCGTAGTGATTGGCATTCAAATATTGAGGAAGAGTATACTGTGCTAATCTGCACAAATTTAAGGCAATCTCGAAATTTACAGCTTGCAATGATTTATTATTGAAGCGTCACATAGTTTCATTTTTGGATGGACATCAGCAACGTTGTCGGAGAGTGAGGTTTGTTAAATACATCTAGGACTGGGTTATCATGTGATTGACATTCTCCATCACTACTAGTCAATGTGACGAGAATACAATATAGTTTCTGTGCATGTAGGATAATTTACTATCTGAATTCAATTTCTGTGCATGTAAAATTTTGCTTGCTTTTTATTCTTGTCTTCAGGTGATGTCAACAGCATTCATATCGGATCTGGTACTAATATACAAGATAATTCCCTTGTACATGTTGCAAAAACTAACTTTAGCGGGAAGGTCCTCCCAACCATAATTGGAAGCAACGTTACAGTGGGTCAGTAAATAACCTTTTTGTATATTGCTGCTAAATGTGGAGCTTCATTTTGTCTGGATGATCGACTAAATTTATACAACTGGCCAAACTGTATTTCTTACAGGCCATAGTGCTGTATTACATGCATGCACCATTGAGGATGAAGCTTTCGTTGGTATGGGTGCCACTCTGCTTGATGGAGTGGTGGTTGAAAAGCACAGCATGGTTGGCGCAGGATCTCTTGTTAAGCAGAATACAAGGATTCCTTCTGGAGAGGTTATTTACTTATGTTCTCATCAAGCTATTTTCCACTTTGATGTATGAGCAATATGCATTTAGTTGCAAGACTTTCATTATTTAACAGTAGTATTAGCTAATGTTCTTCATACTACTAAGATGGAACTAAGATCATAATATTTGGAATAGAACCTTATTGTACATTCTTTTTCCGGCAAGGAACAATTGCAGTTAGAAACAAAGAGTGTCTGGCACTATGCTTAGACTTATCTGCTTTTTTAGGTTCAATGCCAGTGTTCGTGTGCGTTCTTTTTTTACCAGCTTCAAAACTAATTTGTTTGGAAGATTTTAGTTATCTGCATGCTCCTGCTCTGAAGAGTACAGTCCAATGTTGTTTTGTTAGAGGCTTAGAAACTTGGAGCACATGTATTTTGCAGAGAACATTACAGCTAGAAGCTTAGAATGCCTTACTTTACAACATAATTTCGTAAATCTATGCAGTAATGATTAACTTTACTATTGGGAGTGACTACCCAAAAATGTCGTTGGCATGTTTATTCTGCAAGTGGCATGTTACGATCAGAACTTGGAAGCTTATGCTATATTGAAGTCTGCATATTTTTCTTAAAAAAGAAAGAATCCTTATTTATGTGATTTTCTTGCTGAAATTTCTGTTTCTTGACACTATCAGGTTTGGGTTGGTAATCCTGCCAAGTTCCTAAGGAAGCTTACAGAAGAGGAGATTGCGTTCATCGCCCAATCAGCAACCAACTATATCAACTTAGCCCAGGTCCATGCAGCCGAGAATGCCAAGAGCTTCGACGAGATTGAGCTTGAGAAGATGCTGAGGAAGAAGTACGCGCACAAAGATGAGGAGTACGACTCGATGCTTGGGGTGGTGCGCGAGATTCCACCGGAGCTCATCCTTCCTGACAACATCCTCCCACACAATGCTCAGAAGGCCGTTGCCCGCTGAACCTTTTCTCAAGCCGTGCTTGGTGTTGTTGCCTGTTGACTTGGAACATTTTGACACGAGTTTATTCTCTGTTTTTTCCAGCCCAATAAGATTGGGTCGAGCATTGTTTTAGGATCGACCGCACACACCACCTCTATTTTGAACTGCAATGGAAAGAAGCTCAAGGTCTCATTTACGCCATCTTTGTGAAGCACTTGTAATCGAAGTGTGCCCTGTTTTCTTACTATATATCTCTATTTGGAACTGCATGCAAACTCTCCTGGGCTTCAGTCCCTTGGTTGCTTGCTTCATAGATGTTCCTTCGGTCCTTCATACAATGTTAGTTTTATGTGAAATCAATACCCGAAGTTTAACTTTAAAATACCTCTGTTTCTGCAGACTTTACACCTTATGGGATATGCAATGCAAACTCTTCTTGATATGTATAGCCGGCAGCGGTATTTCTTGGTATTTCTCAATGAGTAATGCTAAATGACTCTCTCTCTCTCTCTCTCTCTCTCTCCTTTTCCTCTCATTCTTCTCCATCTCCGGTCTCTCTCTCTCTCTCTCTCTCTCTCTCTCTCTCTCTCTCTCTCTCTCTCTCTCTCTCTCTCCTCTCATTCTTCTCCATCTCCGGTCTCTCTCCCTTTTTTGCCCCCCAACGCGTTAGGGTTCCGGTGGCCGGGTCAGGTCGTGGTGAGGGTGCCCATATGGCCATGACGGCGGCCAGAACGTCGGTTGGAGGAAGAAGACGGTGAAAAAAAACAGGTGTCGGAAGAGCGTGAAACGCTCCAGTGCTACCTAGATCGTTGCTGTCTCGATTTGCAGATTCGCTTGCGGCCTGCGTTTGCAATGCGCGTATAGAGGTTCGCATGCAATGCAACGAGATGCTGCCTGCCGAGTTGTTTCACTTGTGAAGGTCTGCTCAATGGAATGGAAACACTGAGAAACACTCGGCGTACGACACGGTTCATATTTCAGGAAATGTGGCATGACAAGAGCTAGCTCAATTGCTCGTTTTTATTGAGAAAGTAGAGAGTGAACGGAAACACAGCAAAATAATGTACGGCGAAGTACCGAGTGTGGATTCAGTTTTGCACAAGTTTTACATCAAATTCCACTAAAACCGTGCCTGCCATAATTCTATAGACTACTAGACGGCACGCTTGGTGTTGGTGGAGCTATGCTCTTGGACGAACATATTCATCTCCTCCACGAACTTGCCGGAGTCGGCGAGCTCCGGAAACGCGTGGAAGCCGTGGACAGCGTCGGGGTACTCGACCACCCGCACCGGCTTCCCCTTCCCGCGCAGCGCCTCCACGTACCTGGCCTACCAGTCCTTGAGCAGGTCAAAGCCGCCGACCACCACCATCGCGGGCGGGAACACGTCGGCGAGCTCGACGCCCTCGCCGCACACGCGCGTGGCCTCGTGGTCCCGTGTGGCGTCCTCCAGCAGGAACTCCCTCCAGTAGTGGTCGGTCCCCGCCACCGACAGCGCGGACACCCCGTCCAGCGCCACCTCGGCCGCCGTCCGCTCCTCCCCGCCAAGAACAATTTGGATCGACGGACGGCCGGCGATGTGGAGGTTCGCGATGGCGACGATGATGACGCGCGGACGATGCCGCCAATACTGCGACACGTGGTGCGTGATGTTGCCGCCCGCGCTGTCCCCCGCGAGGAAGCAGCTGGAGAGGTCGACGGGGACGTGGGCCGCCGGAAGGGAGTCGGCGTTGGCGTCGAGGTAGCGGAGCGCCGCGACGCCGTCGTATGCCGCGGGGAACCGGTGCTCGGGTGCCAGGCGGTAGTTGACGGACACGACGACGGCGCGGAGGTCGCGTCAGAGCCGGCGGCAGAAGGCATCATAGGGGCGGGACGCCGCGGAGAAGAGCACGAACCCGCCGCCGTGGAAGTAGACGATGACGGGAACGGGGCCCGGCTCGGCGTCCGCATCCGCAGGCCGCGGGAGGCGTCGATGGTGACATCGGCGGAGCGCACCCCCGAGGCGTCCGGGCGGGACGTGGCGCCAGACTTGAGGTCACAGAGGGAGAAGAGGCGCCGCCAGACGCTGCCGTCCCGGCGGTGCGCTCGCGCGAGCGCGGCCAGCTGGACGCCCACCGTCCATGGCAGGGACAGCGTCCGGCGGGCATGGTCGTCGGAGCCTCACATTTCTGGCAGTCCGTTACGATACGCACCGGCACTCCACCACACTGCCGCCACAGTACTCAGTACCGAAGCGGTGTCAAACAAGGCCAGCACGGAACGGAGATAACGAGGTGCAGACGCAGACTGCCGTTGCCAACTTGCAATGGTTTTATGTGTTTGTTGCATGTGTTCGATGCCGCCTATGCACATGATCAGTGGTTAATTAACCAAGATGTTATAGAAGTATACGAGTAGGACAGCTGTGCGACATGACAAAAGCAAGTTTCCGGTGTGAAGGTATGAAATTAATGTCAATAACTGGAATAATTGTTTTTTTACAGAACTGCTAGATATCAAAATATCTACTTTTTTTGAAATTTTTACATATACTTATTAAATACTACATGTATAGAATGTGAGGGCACTTTGTTACACCACTGAGATAGTGAGATCATACATATCGTCGTCTATCGTCGTCCACACAATCACACAGGCTAAATCTCATGTTATTGCAGATGAAAAGTAAACGTGACCACGGCGGCTAAATCTCATGTTATTGCAGATGAAAAGTAAACGTGACCACGGCAGAGTCGACAGGGACGGATACACTGAGGTGCAAATTAAGTAATTTTGCCAACTTGCATTGTTTTATGCTTTTGATTAAGTAACTTTGCCAACTTGCATTGGTTTTTATGCTTGCCTTGGATGCCGACTGCATGATCCATCCTCGGTGTGGACACCATCTAATTTTGAACGGAAGAATAGAATTTTAAGAAACCACGCATGATGATGTGCAGGGCTAGGGAGAGAACATATACAATGAGCCTAGTAGTTGTGTGCCCGACAACATTTTGAACTTAACAACAACAACAATAACAACAACAAAGCCTTTAAATTCCAAACAAGTTAGGATAGACTAGAGTTAAAACCCAGCAGAAACAATCAAGGTTCAGGCACATGAATAGTTATTTTCCAAACACTCATATCTAAGGCTAAGTCTTTGAGTATATTCCATCCATTCAAGTCTCCTTTTATTGCCTCTACCCAAGTCAACTTCGTCTTCCTCTGCCTCTCTTCACGTTACTATCCTAACTTAGAATTTCACTACGCACCGGTGCCTTTGGAGATCTCCGTTGGACATGTCCAAACCATCTCAACCGGTGTTGAATAAGCTTTTCTTCAATTGGTACTACCCCTAATCTATCACGTATATCATCGTTCCAAACTCGATCCCTTCTTGTATGACCGCAAATCCAACGCAACATACGCATTTCCGCGACACTTATCTGTTGAACATGTCGTCTTTTCGTAGGCCAACATTGTGCACCATACAACATAGCAGGTCTAATCGACGTCCTATAAAACTTATCTTTTAGCTTCTGTGGTACCCTTTTGTCACATATGACATCAGATGCTTGGCGCCACTTCATCCACCCTGCTTTGATTCTATGGCTAACATCTTCATCAATATCTTCGTCTCTCTGTAGCATTGATCCTAAATATCGAAAGGTATACTTTCTATGCACTACTTGACCTTCCAAACTAATATCTTCCTCCTCCCTAGTGCCGAAGTCACATCTCATATACTCAATTTTACTTCTACTGATCCTAAAATCTTTAGACTCCAAAGTCTTCCACCATAACTTCAGTTTCTGATTCACTCCTGTCCGACTTTCATCAACTAGCACTACATCGTCCGCGAAAAGCATACACCAAGGAATGTCCCTTTGTATGTCCCTTGTGACCTCATTCATCACTAAGGCAAACAGATAATGGCTCAAAGCTGACCCTTGATGTAGTCCTATTCTAATCAGGAAGTCATCCGTGCCTCCATCACTTATTCGAACACTAGTCACAACATTATTGTACATGTCCTTAATAAGTCCGACGTATTTCGTTGGGACTTTATGTTTGTCCAAAGCCCACCACATAACATTCCTTGGTATTTTATCATAAGCCTTCTCCAAGTCAATAAAAACCATGTGTAGGTCCTTCTTCTCCCTACATCGCTCCATAACTTGTCTTATTAAGAAAATGGCTTCCATGGTTGACCTTCCGGGCATGAAACTAAATTGGTTCATAGAGACCCGCGTTATTGTTCTCAAGCGATGCTCGATAACTCTCTCCCATAGCTTCATAGTATGGCTCATCAACTTAATTCCCTGGTAATTAGTACAACATTGAATATCCCTTTATTCTTGTAGATCGATATCGATATACTTCTCCACTCGTCAGGCATCTTGTTCGTTCGAAAAATATGGTTAAACAACATGGTTAGCCATACTATATCAATGTCCCCAAGGCATCTCCACACCTCAATTGGATACCATTCGGTCCCATCGCCTTACCTCATTTCATCCTTTTCAACGCCTCTCTGACCTCAGATTCTTAGATTCTCCGCACAAAGCGTCTATTGATGTCATCAAAAGAGTCATTCAACTGAAAGGTTGTGTTCGTATTCTCACCATTGAATAATTTGCCAAAATACTCTTACCATTGATGTTGAATCTCATCCTCCTTTACCAAGAGATGCTCCCTTCCATCCTTAGTGCACTTAACTTAGTTGAAGTCCCTTGTCTTTCTCTCAAAAACTCTAGTCATCCTATAAATGTCCTTCTCTTATTTTTTCGTACTCAAATATTGGTAAAGATCCTCGTACGCTCTACCCTTTGCCACACCTACAGCTCACTTTGCAGTCTTCTTTGCCACCTTATACTTCTCTATGTTGTCCACACTCCTATCATGGTACAAGCGTTTATAACATTATTTCTTCTCCTTAATAGCCCTTTGGACTTCCTCGTCCCACCATCAAGTATCTTTAGCCTCGTCTCTACTTCCTTTGGTTACTCCACACACCTCTGAGGCCACATTTCGAATGTTGGTTGTCATCTTCTCCCACATGTTGTTTATGTCCTCTTCTTCCTTCCAAGAGCCCTCTTTGATAACCATTTTCCCTGAATACCTCTGACGTCTCCCCTTTTAGTTTCCACCACTTTGTTCTTTCAATCTTTAGCTTAGTTTATCTCTACGGGCACGCACCTGAAAACGAAAGTCTGCCACCAAAAACTTATGTTGAGAAACAACACACTCTCCTAGTATCACCTTGCAACCCAAGCATGCAACATTTTGAACTTAAGAGAAACACAATTATGGTAATCAGTTAAGTAGTTGACAGCATGAAAGAAGTGAGTTTTCAAGGCTATCAAATGGTCATTACGACAACAGGTCAATTTGAGGAGATATGTACTATGCTTAACAGAGTTAATTGGCGTTTCAAGGAAATGATTATGGGGTAATTTGCTGGATTAATCTACTTCCTGAAGTTGCTGACTTATGTATTCTAGTACTAGTGTTGTCCACAGTTCCAAGATTTGTCTGAAGTCCAAGTTAATTAGCATAAGTCAACAGCAAGATTTCACCTCCCCTTCTACATAAGTTATTTTAGCAACCCAAGATTCTGGACGAGCAGCATGTAAACACAATAAAGATATTTCTAAGTTGGTGGTATGTGTGCCAAGTGGTAATGCCTGAAATAGGTCTGTCTCCCATCAATATATGTGACTTGACCAACCAAATAATCCGTAAATGAACCAGCATTCTTCTATTTGCTGTTTAATTAATGCTTCTTACATGAGTGTCGCATGCTCCCATCCCCAACACCACTTACAATTACAACACATACTTTAATGCACTTTCAAGTTTGAACATGGTCCATGTTTTGCATAGGCTGGGACTGTGGTGCAGTTGTTTGTCATTGTCTCAACAGGCTACATAACAATGCAGAACGACCAGTCCAGAAGAGTGTACATTCCAAATTTCCAATGTTAGTGCAAAATCAATACCATCATTAGAATCGTAATGGTTAAGTAATAGAAGTGATGCAGTTGATAAAACTTCACAAGAGAGGATAATTGAAAACCAAGACTAAAAATCAGAGCGGACATTTTCTCTTGAATAAATCAGAGTGGACATGAAGAACATGTATTGGAGCAAATGATTAGACCAACACCTGTGTTCCACCTGAGGATTAATAAGAACCAAAGAATCATGCTGGTGAATGTAACAGGGAGTGTAAACAAGCCAAGGGCTTAAACCAGCTTGGTTTGAATTGAGAGCAAAACAAATTCGCTTCTAGTCCCAAGCAGGATAGGCTAGGATTCTACTTGAGAGCAGAGCACTAACAAAATTAGAACTTGAGCTCAGATAAACTAAACCTGAATTGGTATGTGGTTGGCTTGACTGAACTTAGCTACAGGTCAAAATAAATATAAAAGCTTCCCCTGAAAAGCTAAACTTTATCCGAAACTACTTGAATCAAGTATATACATGGCCGATTTACCATAATCAATACTACTATTATCAATATTACTAATACCACCCTGCCTTTTTTAGCCCGCTCTGTTGGATTTCATCCCTAGCCGACCCTAACTTGCTTGGGAATAAAACTTCCGCTGTTGTTGTATCAGTACTTTAGTACATATGTATGCATTGTCGCATTCAAACCAAAGGTTCAATATGAACACAAAAAAGCTTATCGTGCTAATGTTACTTTTTTTTTAAAGAACTAAGGGTAGGGTAGGCAGAGAAGACAAACTAAAACAGAAAGCATCACCATTTTTGTTCAACTGAGGTTACACCATGAAAAGAAACCTTGTAGTGGAAGATAGTAACTGTAATATAATCCAGATGAAGAGGATTTTGTACCTGCTTTCATCAACAGACACGGTCTGTTTGGCAGGTAATCAGATGTTGTCTGGATAACATTATTGGTTTGAATCTTAGCAGGTGCATCAGTATCATCAGATATGATGAAAGATTATTCTTCATCCTGCCCACTGCAGACACAATCTAAAAAGTAATTGTAAATGTCATGCTTTGAAATGTTGCATGAGAATGCGATTGTTTATTAACATAATGCGTAGACCAGGTCATCATAGAACTACTATCTGAAAACAAAAGGTTCTTAAAGAAAAGAGTAATATGGCTTATAAGAAGATCCTGGAATAGATAGAAAATGTCCTTGACAAAAGGCAACCACACCTCAAAGCTTCTTCCAGCTCAAGGAATCAAAGAAAAGCATACTCCTGCATTCCAGTTTTTTTGTGATGTGATTTAGGCTTACTATTTTCAGGGCCACACCAAGCAACACTATGGTTCAGTTCAGCACTTGGCATTATACCTCCACAATAGTTAGACAATATAGAACACAACATACAACGACTAGCCTGAACATCCTTTCACAACACTGAACAAATCTCTTCGCTAATACGTCTGAATTTTACTAGCAATACAAAGGGCAGACCTAGTGCCGGAGGCTCCCACATGAGTGGGGTCTGGGGAAGGGAAAAACCGAGGCAAGCCTTCCCCCCGCAAATCTGCAGAGAGGCTGCTTCGAACCCACGACCTGGTGACTCAGTGAGACAGCTCTCACCACTGCACCAGGCCTGCCCTTCAGATTTGTTTCTACACCAAAACAGCACTAGGAGAAATCCACGCCTCAAGAACCACCAGCGCCACCACCTGGGCCCTCATTAGCCGGTTTGCGGTTCAAGTATCTTATAACGGCGTCTTCAACCCTATTTAATTATGGCACAAAAGTGATCTCATCAGCACATGGATCCATATAATATAATGCTCAAGTAAGAAAAAAACAATGGTCAGCTAGAGAGCATACCATGGTTGGTTATAGAAGTCAGCACGTCTTTCCTTCTCAATGTTCCTATTCGCCTCGCCGGCGACCAACTTTAAATCTTTGCTCTGGGAAGCTATCAGTGCATTGATGAACTCCACTGGGGACTGGCTGAAACCCAGGAAGAATGCCCTCCTCCTGCGGTGCTCATGGATCTTCTTGATCGAAGCAGATATCACCTCGTTGCAGGCCTCAATGTCCTTGTGCTCTCTGTGTTGGCAAGGAACGCCATCATCTCTTTCTGCAGCGGGAAGGGAACATCCACCAGCACATCATAGCAAGCACTGCTATGCGCTCCATTCCCTGACAGCTTAATCTTGTGCTCCAAGTTGATGGGTGGTGGGGCAGACAGATGCTGAGATATCTTCTGTGACAGCATTGCAAACTTGAGCTTGTCCTCCCCAAACACCTTCTTCAATTGAGGGTCACACATGAAGAAGGAAGGATCATTTGGGTTCTGAAGCTTCTTTGCCTTAATATACTGCCAGAGGGCAGCAATCACTCGTGCACGAGTGTCCACCTCCACCCCAAGCACCTCCATAAGCGGCTGTGACAGCTTGAACTTCTCAGGGTTGTAGTTCATCTCCAGCCGGATGTTTGCAACAAACTCCTTATCCCCTTTCCTCTTTACCTCAAACCCTTCCTGCTGGGCAGCTGTTCGTGCATTCTCCCAGATGATGAGCGGATTCTCTGGGTACAGAGACGGGTCCAGCGCTATCGTCACCCTCTTGAAGAATTGGGAGAACTTGGGGTACACTGGGTTGTGCTTGGGCACAACACTGGCAGGATCCAGCTCGGCGCCATCCTCCAGCACGCGACCAATGATCTTGAGCGACCAGGTTGGCGGATCGGCATTCTTGGGTGGTGGGATGGTGCGCGGCCCCTGGTTGGCAAAGGTGTTGAAGACGTAGATGCGGAGTGTGCGCTGGAGCGAGGGCGGCATCTTGAGCGCCTCCTGGATGTCTACCTTCTTCCGCGCAAGCGCGGCGTCCACGCGGGCCTCGAACTCGAGCAGCTGCGTGTAGAGCGCGGATTCTGGGAGCAGCGCGGCGACGCGGTCAGGGAGCTGCTTCTCGGGGAGCTTGCGCTTCTTGTTGCGCCGCGCGGCGGGGGTGAGGTCGACGCCCCCGGAGTTGGCCACGGCCGCCGCCGCGGCCGCAGCCTTGTACGCGGCAGCCGCCGAGGCTGCCGCGGCCGACGAGGTAGAGCCGGGGCCAGGGGGCCGGACGGGGGGCTTCTGCGGGGGCCGCTTGGCCGAGCCTGCGGTGGCGGCCATGAGCGGAGTCTGGGGCGAGGACGAAGCGCCCATGTGGATCTGGAAGGCGGGGTTGTGGGTGGGCGGTGTGTGGAAGAGGCCCTGGAAGGGGGAGCCGGCGAGGGAGGGAGGGCGGAGGTGGGTCATGGGCGTTGCCGGTGAGCCGCCCGGTTGAGGCTGCTGCTGCGGATGCGGTGGGCGCGGCTGGGTGGGGGCGCCGGTCGGGTTGGGGTTGCCGCCGGAGGCCATGGCGGCGACGGTTTCGCCGGTAAGGGCGGCGAGATCGGATCTCGGTGGAGAGGGGATTGGGGGAGCTAGCTAGGGTTTGGAGGGGAGAGAGGTTGGCGACTGACGGCGATTCGGGGAGGATTGTGGATGGAGAGATAGTTGGGCCTTCCGTGGGCCGGGCTTTTTTTAAGGGTTTTGTTGGAAACGAGGCCATTGCAATTCTTCGAGTTAAAAAAAACGTCATTACAATTCTTCTATTAGGCTGCTATTATAATTTCACGTTTTTTCATTCACATCATTTCGTACGCTGAAGCGTATAAGCACCGACTGTCAGCCAGCTATGCGTACACGAATGCATACGCACGTCAACTCCGCGCCTCCTCCGTCAGACAGAGCCCGCCCACGGACGCCTCGTAGTGCTCCGGACCTCCGCTTCACCTCGGCGGCGTCGGCGCTGCTCCGCCGTTGCTGCGGACGCCACGCCCTTTGCCGCTACTACGCCATCAGCCGGTGCTGCCGCCGCCGCCATCCTCGTCCTCATCCTCATCCGTCCACCACATCCCCCGTAGCGTGGCCGCCATCGCCGACATGTCCTCGGGGTCATAGAAGACATCGTCCTTGAGCTGGAGCCGGTCGCCCCACCGGAGCTCACGCACGTCGGCTCGCACGACGCTCATCCCGTTCGCGCCCGCGTTGGCCCTGAGGCCCGACAGCAGCGCGGCGACGTCCGTGAGCACGCAGCGGGCGACGCCGAGGCAGGCCACGGCCACGACGCTCGGGACTCCGCGACAAAGGGGAGGAGTCCCATAGCCAGGAGCCGGTGAGGACGCGGCTGGTGGCCGGGTCTCTCGTGTCATCGCACTCCACCACGGCCAGCGCGTGTCCCAGCTACGGCTACGTGCAGGACCATCCCCGCGCGCGCTGGCTGCCTACGTGCATTCCGCTCGTCTTATCTGATTGCCGCCGGAGGCTCTGCTCGAGTTGAGGTCACTGGCCAACGGCGAGGTGAGCGCGGCGCGGCTCTCCGACTTCTTCGACGGCGGCGGGGTCCGGCGCAGGAGGTATCTTGGTAGTGGGAGCCACGACGGCATGCGCGGCTTGCACAGTCGACGGACGCGACGAGCAGAGAGCCGGTGGGCAGCGCGACGCCGGCGGCCAGTTCGGCATACGGGTGAGTACGGGTTGGGGAAGCCTCCACCGCTGTCTCCCGCCCCTGTCCACGCGTCGAGGACAATACGACCGTGCATCACCTCGGGCCTTGGCCTTGCTGGACATTGGCCTAGTGGCCCTGCAGCTTCGTTGCGTCGCTCACCAGCCCCACGTGCGTCGCCCACTTCGACGCCACGCACCGCGCGTCCAGGCTAGCAAGGACGTGCGACATCAGGCTCTCACTGGACACGGGCAGATGCTTGTGGTGGTTCCATGCGAAGCTGGAGGACTCAATGGTGTATGTGTCGTTTGGCACGCTGGGTCATCGGCAGCATCCGAGGAGTCGGAGACAATGGTAGAGCGTGAGTAAAAATTAAGGGGGTGCCAAATTACCATTACAGATTTATATTGAGAAAGTAGCAGACTTGTAATATAATTTAAAATGATAGAACCATTACCAATTTAGTCTCAACTAAAATTTGATGCTAATATTAAACTAGTGCCATATTTGAGTATATCAGGTCCACGACTAAAAAACAAGAGAGAGGATTAGAAAATTCATCAATCACACCAATTGAACATATCATGCAATCATGCCATTTCTGAGTAAGCTAGTATAGCATTTGAACATTGAGTAGTGAGCAGTCACTGCCACTCATGCAGTCCCTACCGCAGATGAGGCACATACTTCACGTAAAGAAATGCTGGTGCTCTAGTGCTCCTTCAGTCTTGTCTCATGCAGTCTTGCTAGTGCAGAGATACAACATCTTTTCACTCAATCTTGCTTACTAGTACTACAAAGTTATCTCGGACAAGGGGGGTGGAGCCCAGTTTGGCCTCCACTGGGCTCCGCCCGTGGTCAGAGATACCCAACGGGTTCATGGAACTGATGGTGCGTGGTGCCGCTGCTCTGGTCCTCCAGGAGTCTCCCCTCGGTGTCGACGCAGACCGTGGGGCAGATCCCCGTGGGGACCCCGAGCGCATCGACGACGCGAAACTAAAAGCCGAGCTCGACAAGGCCGACATCTGCGTAACCACCGAAATTCATGCACTCCTACGCCATCCTTCTCGAGGGCTACGAGGCTGCCATCGAGCCCGCTGAGGTCACGCTCTGATGCGGTGCGTCATGCAAGCGCGTCGGCGACGAGCCCTTGGGCGCGCGTCGCCTAGCCCCGCGTGAGGTGAACGAAGCCATGGCTGCCGAAGAACACGTCGTCAAGGTACTTGTACCCCACCAGGCGACGTCCTCGACCATCTCGTGCAGTGGTGGAGGACCTGAGACCGGATCAGGGCGCTTCGAGGTCCGAGGCCTCCGGGAGGAGGAGGGCAGCCACTTCAAGGTGTGTGGGCACTCGCAGCCACGCCGCTCGGGCGCACGCCACCACGGGCGCTCGCTGTTAGATAATCTACTGATTTCTTGTGTGAACACACAATAAGGGAAGGCGGCACCGAAAAGGCTCCCTGCTATGGTACTGTAGCCATTGTAGAGGCAAGCGTCGAATGGCTCACCTGTCGGACTATAGCCACATGCAGAGGCAGACACCAGAGTCAGCCCTGCTGTGTTATCTAGTAACTGTAGCAGCATGGCAGCTATACTAGGACTAGATAGGATAGAGTTATTAAATAGTTTGCCACTGTAATTTAGTAAGGAGAGTTCAGTTTTGCCATCTTCTATATAGGGCTCCGACCAACGCTGGTGCTTATACTGTGTGTGTATGCTCTGTTCTCCCTCTTCTTCTACCTCTAGCCATAGTGTGTATGGTCGGACATCCTCTGTCGTGCTCGGTCATTGTCAGCAAGACTGGTGAGTGGTTGACTCATCTAAGTCGGTGATCCTGTGGGCTAGCAAGTGGTATCAGAGCCGTACAAGCGCTGTCGCCGGACTAACCGCTGGCGATGACGAACGTTCAGAGATGGGCGACAGCAGTGGCACTGCTGTGGCTGCCCAACCACGACAGGAGGTTGTTGTTCGCACGGTGCGGGAGGTCAGCGGCACCAGTTGGCCGACGCTAACTCACACAACTATGGAGAGTGGTCGGTGACCATGAAAGTCAAGCTCAGAGCTTGACGGCTCTGGAATGCTGTTGACAAGGGCACCGACAATGAGGAAGATGACATGTCAGCATTGGAGGCTATCCTCGCTGCTGTACCGGCAGAGTACAGGGAGCCGTTGGGGGCAAAGAGCTCTGCTAAGGAGGTGTGGGAGGCTATTGCGGCGATGCGCGTTGGTTCTGATCGCGCAAAGAAGGCGATGACCTAGCTTCTGAAGCAGGAGTACGCCAACCTCAAGTTCAAGGATGGTGAAACAGTGGAGGACTTCTCCCTCTGTCTACAGACGCTCATCAGCAAGCTAAAGAGCCATAGCTCAAGATGGCAATGGGTACGTACCCGATGGGTACTGGCCACCCGTACCCGCACCCACCAGATCAAAATCTTACCCGTCGGGTTACCCGTACCCGCAGACGGGTAGAAAATTCATTCCATACCCGCACCCGACGGGTAATTCTTACCCGACAATATACCCGAGTTCACACACCAAAATATAATAGCTTCCAGCAAAACAAATCAACAATAGAGCAACAAAACATAAATATGGGCTGGTGGAGTGGAGTGAGGATGAGGATTAGGGTTTGAGAGAGTTCTAGAATATATATACTCATATGCTTATATGGGCCAAATATGGGCTATATACTTATATGGGCTAAAATTACAGAGGTTGGATATTATTTATGTGGTTTTTTTACCCGCGGGTATGCGGGTATGGATAGTATACACCCACACCCGTACCCGCATACCCGATGGGTACAAGAATTCATCCAATAACATACCCGCGGGTGCAAAATGTCTTCTATACCCGCCTCCTTATCGGGTAAAACCCGTCGGGTACTCGGGTTTCGGGTACCCATTGCCATCTTGAGCCATAGCATCTCCATCGACAAAGAGGAGGCGGTCTCCAAGTAGCTCCACTCCATGCCGGTCAAAGTACATCCAGATCGTTCTCTCCATAGAGACGATGCTGGACTTGTCCACCCTCACCATTAAGGATGTGATAGGCCGTCTACGGGTGGTGGACGAGCGCCTAGAGCAGGCGACAACAACGAAGGACAGCGGCAAACTGCTGCCAACAGAGGAGGAGTTGGCTGCTCGGAGGAACTCCGGGGTAGCCTCCTCCAGCCGTGGTGGTGATGGCAAGCGCCGCGGCAAGGCTTCTTCGGAGAAAAAGAAGCAGGTCGACCCCAACGCCTGCCGACGCTGTGGGAAGACGGGCCATTGGACACGGGAGTGCCCAAATCGCAAGCAGGAGAAGAAGACTGAGGCTCATCTGGCACCAGCTGATGATGATGATGAGGCCACTATCCTGATGGCGACATTCTGTGCACCGCATGACATCGAGGCCGAGGAGAAGGAAGAGGTGACGATGGTGGAAGGACCTGGGAAGGCCCTGAAGGCTGTCAACCTCGATGAACCACGTGCCCAAGTCCACCTCGGATGTGTGGGTGCCGACCAGGAGCAGCGGTGGTATCGGGACTCTGGTGCCAACAACCACATGACGGGTTCCAAGGCATCCTTCTCCCGAGCTCGACGACGATGTTACCGGTATGGTGAAATTTGGTGATGGCTCAAGTGTGGCAATCCAAGGGCGCGGCACCATCATCTTCAAGTGTGAGAACAGGGGGCACCACACGCTAATGGATGTATATTACATCCCACAGCTGCGTTCAAGCATCATCAACATTGGTCAGCTAGATGAGCGTGGTAGCGAGGTACTGATCAAGGACAGAGTCGTTAGGATCAGGGATCAGGAGCAGCGACTTCTCACCAAGGTGAAGAGGTCCCTGAACTGGTTGTATCTGCTCAACCTCAAGGTAGAG